ATATACGGAAACGAGGCCGAGATCAACATGGGACGAAAAGCCAAGGTCGCTGTGCGGGCAAAATTTCCCTCATAGCACACTGTATGGCTTATATCCGTCTTCATTAGCCCGGTCGGAGCAGAACAGTGGGACGTTAAACCCCATTTCATTTCTTTTCATTTTTTCAAAATATGTAAATATAAATGTGCCAGAAAATTATTTAAATATTTGAAAAGAGAAGTGAACGTGCTTTTTAGTGATAAGTAATAGAGCGGGAGCCCAGGGGGTAAACCTATATGGAAAGTGTACCAATTTTCGCCTATGGTATCAATGCATGCATATCAGAATGTAAGTCTGCCGGGTATCTGGTGGTGGGTGTGGAATTCCACGCCCAAAATGCCATGTCCCCCAACTAGGCTAGATTAGCTCAAAAGTGTACCACACATCTTCAGGTATTACAAAAACATTCTGAGGTACCCTGACACAGCTATGTAGTTGTCAGACATTTATAGTGGTGGAGTATCCCTGACAAGAGTAGTATCCCAGAACCACAGCTAGGCTAGATTAGATGAAATCTGTACCACCACATGTTCCTGAAGCAACGACGGTGAGATCAAGCCTTCTATTGAAGATGGTACCACCTAAAACTGCGTTAAAGTTGTTCAGTACCACCACAGAAATCATGAATGACCACTGCCAGACAGTTTGTGCGGTGGGTTACCCCTAACAAACACGCCCAAAATGCCACGGCCCCCAACTACACGGATAAACAATACACTGCCGTTTCACAGATTACATAGATCAGAGAGGGGTTGGGTGGCCGAATGGTTAACGCATGCATCATAAGGTCTGTCATTGAGTCAAGTGGCGTGGCTTCGATTCCCCACTTGTACGTGACAAGGAGAGGGTCGCCTGTCCAACCTCGTGGGTTTTCTTTGGGTCTTCTGGTTTCCTCCCATTGCGAAAGATCCCCTACGCGCAAGAGAATTATTGAATAAATTTGAACAATATGTTTGTCGAGTGGACCTCTCTCTCTCTCTCTCTCTCTCTCTCGCTCTCTCTTATTTTCTTTAGATCAGACATCTAACAAACCAAATGACTAGTTTTTCTAATAACTAATCCTATAACAATCGGCTTACAGATGATTTTCTATAATTTTGAAAGGGAATAGCTGAATTGTCTGCGTCGGTTATGTGTGTCGTGAATAGGTTTGTCCTAGAGCAGATTCTTAGGAACTAAAATACACGGGATGTAGCCATTTTAAAACAATACATTCTTCATAATCAGCTTACAAATGTCTCTGATTAATCACTTACATAAATTCAGTTTAAAATCTTTGTTCAAGAAATAAAACATTTTTGTTAGGACTTCGAATTTTGTCTAATGGTTTGGATTGTTCGTACTTGGTTTTATTTTAATTCGAGATAAAAAGCACAATTGTTATGGAAATAAGCTTGGTATAAATAGTTGTACGTTATTTTGACCGAAGATAAAAAAAAACGGATCCCACTAAGTTTTTGTCCATGCTCAGGCCTCACAGCCTGATATTTTGAATATCCCAGACAAGTGCGAGTTCAGGCTTGATATAATGCGTGTCTCACTTGGACTAAATGTTGGTATTCTTGGGACTATTAAAAATACAATATATTTATACGAATTTCTCCCATTATTAAAGGAAATATTAGTGCCAGTCATTATCACATATGTGATAGAACTGGTTAAACACGTTCCAAATATAATTTTAACACAGAGATCATTGTTACGATAGATGCTTAATAAAGATTTCAAAAAACGAAAGTGACGAAAGCAAAAGGAAAACACGGGTTATCCTTCTATGTTAAATGGCTGTAACATCACAAGCTGTAGCTTTTTGCTCAACATTCCGTTGGTTCCAATCTATATAGGCACAATGGGGACCACATTTGGCAATCTCCTCATCATAATTTTGTAGGGTTTGACCGTTTAGATTTTTTTTCTACGGGGATTTGATGTTGACTGGGGTGAAACTCGCCTCCGACACAATGATTGCTCTGCAAAAAGACACTTTACAGCCCCTATCCCTCCGCTGTAAGTATTATCCAAAAACTGCTATGAAATTGCCAATTTGATCCCTTTAGTCCATTTATGCATGTTAACAGTAGAAACGAATGCTGATGCAGAGAAGAGGGTATGCCCATTAAGGATTGATAAAGAAGAACAATGTGTTACAATAACGTAGAAGGAAGCTAAAAGTATATAAATATTGCTGCATTGTCGTAAGCTGATACTATTACAGTAGCCGTAGGAACACGGATTCATTTCAATTGTTGACAAAAGTAGCCTACGTCAATAAAAAGAAATGAAATGGGGTTATACATGTACCTCCTACTGTTCTGCTCCGACTGGGCTCCATCAGAGTGCTATGAGGGGAATTTTGCCCTGCAGTGGCGCAACGGCACTCTTATGTCGAATTCCAACTGCCAAGAAGTGCATTAAAGGTTGAATGGGCGGGACTGATCAATTTTGATATTTGGCCTACTCAGAAGTAGGTTAATCCCCAAAATCATCATAAGGATTTATATTTTGACACACAGGTGTACTCGAGATGAATTAGAAAAAAAAAATTTTGGCTGTAATGCGTACAGCGCCCACTGGTAGTGTTCCTAAAAGCATTATTTAAGAGTTATGTTTTGGGGGTCCCGTTCATGTGGACAGACAGGAAGTCAATACCACAAAGTTCAAAAAGATGAAAACTGGTCTACCGGACATTTTACATTTTGCCACTGACTCTAGCTGAAAGTCTGTTGGGATGTATTTTTCCTGATGAGCAAGGGGAATGGTACTTGTCCGATAGTCAAACACCAGGTTAAGCCTTGTGATTAAAATAAAGAGGAGGGCTGCAGCTGGGACACTTGTCCAGGGGCCCTGGAGCCTAGAGGGTCCCAGAGGTATGCCGAGTAATGTTTCAAAAAACATTTGTTGGTATAAAGTAATAAAAGAAATACACTGTTACTTGATCGTAAAGCAGGAGAAAACCCGGTAACTTTTCTCAATGTGGGTACCTAGTTCCATGGGTAAGATTAGTTCACCTTTATGGAAAAATTGATCAATTTAAAACTATAAATCACCTGCCCAGGCCTTAGTGCCGTGGAGTCACTACCCATTCTCGGGAACATCTACGAAACCTGTGTCAAAATATAAATCTTTCACCCTTTGATATCATTCACCCTTTGATGCACTTCTCCAGTAAAAGAACTCTTGGCAGATGGAATTCGATATACAAGTAGGCTGTTGCGCCATTGCAGGGCAAATTTTCTCTCATAACACACTAAGAGAGCCAAATAAGATGTATAACCCCATTTCATTTCATTTCTTCAACAATGGAAATGAACCGTGTTCCTGCAGCTACTCTAACAGTATCACCTATAGGCAATGCAGAAGTAGTTATACTCTTATCCCCCTTCTCCGTTATTGTAACACATTGTTCTTCTTTATCAACCCAACATAATGAGCATGTACTCTTCCCTGCATCAGCATTCGTTTCTGCTGTTAACATGCGAATAAGGACTAATTTTGGAAGAAATATGACGTCTGATATGCCGTTGTGACGTTGCAATTTTTGGACTCGCTGGTACCGACTTCCTATCCGTCCACAATACATTTATGGTGTCTAAATCCAATAGTTTTAGAGATATTTGCGATTTTTTATCGACAGCCGCCATCTAAGATTTGGCAACGCCCCCTGTCCTTATTTGGACTCCAATTTTGATAAACTTTCTTTTCCTTACTTAGGGCATCATAATAAGACACTAGAAATCAAAAAACCTTTTGTTGCAATTTGTTGTACGCCAAATATTAGTTTGACCCGCCTATATTTAGCATCTCCCCAATCGAGGAAATATATCAGTACTTATAGTTTAGTACTATTATTATTTAATATACCCTATGTATATCAGTTACTTATACTTTTTTGGACTCGCTGGTATCGACTTCCTGTCTGTCCGCAATACATTTATGGTGTCTAAATCCAATAGTTTTAGAAATATTTGCGATATTTGATTGACAGCCGCCATCTTGGATTTGGCCATGCCCCCTGTCCTTATTTGGACTCCGATTTTGGTAAACTTTATTTTCCTTACTTAGGACATCATAATGAGTAAGTAGAAAACATAAAATCTTTTGTTGCAATTTGTTCTACGTACGACATCATCTAGCCGTCGTTTGACCCGCCTATATGTACACTGCTGTACCTCGGTTTTTCATCCCATCCGAAGGATGGAAGGATTAAGTCCGTTTCAATAAGTGCTTTATCTCCCTTCTAATTGGGTTCAGAGAGAGAGAGAGAGAGAAATGGGGTTTAACGTCCACTCGACACAAACTAGGTCATTTCGGGACTAACATAATATGGTTCAATTTCCATAAGTGGCTTGCGCGTAGGGGTCTTTAGCAGTAGGAGGAAACCGGAGGACCCGTCTAATTGGGTTCAATTGTTTGAAGAAATGCAGACTGAAATGGAATGGCGTTTAATGTCCCATCAACTCACTATTTAGGCCATCTTGAGACTGACGGTAATTTGTATTTCTAAGGCTAAATACACATTGCGAGGATGGGAATTTCGCCTGAATAGCCCCCAATCGGACTATCAATGAATCTTTGTTCAATGCACCTTCATTGGTCGTCCCAGAACAATTATTAAAATCAAAATGACGCTCCATGTTCAAATAACCATAATGTTTATATCTCGAGCTTCATACGTAAGCCATACTGTGAAAATGATTTAGATTTTAAGCCGCCCTGGACGGCGATATCACTTCGGTGGAAGCGGACGTTCGATAAAGCTATCTCACACATAAAGTTGTGGGTTAATAAATGAATTTAACTATCTTATTTCAAGGTTGTTGTTAAAATGTTTCAAGACAAAGAATATTCAGCAAGGACCAATTTACAGTGGTGGCATTTCTAACTCCATTGGTGCCATTGCTGAAGTGCTGTTTTCTGGGGGTTGCAGCTTATCCCAACACTAACGACGATAACTCGGAATAAATAATTAAAAGTGTACTTTTAATAAACGAGTGTCCAGAACTGGCTAACCGTCACAATGGTAAATTGTTTATTTTGTCTTAAATATTGGATATCAGAAGCCAATCCTTTTCCGGTAAGATTACAGCATCAATGTTGGTTTAAATTGACAAATGATTTGTGTTTTTAATGTCGAAGACTTTGGATGATAATGAGTTAGAGACTTAGCTACTTTAAATAACATTTCACTGAAATTTCAGAATTATACAAAAAATCATCAGCTGTATTTTATGAAAAACAATATATCCATACAAACGGCAGCACTTGAGATTCCACAATCAATTTACAAATGACATAATGGTTGAAACAAGAAGTGAAGTTGAAGCAATGATTTATTTGATCCCTGCCGGCCGAGGGGCATTGTAGCACAAAATAAAATCAGACAGCCATTCTGGAACAGTCCATAAAAATCGGTGGATGTAATTAGCATCGTTCCCAACAATATATCTATATTTTGGGTATCTGGCAGTAATGGCGTGTTCATAGGCATCTATCACCATATTGATGTCCCCTGGTGAACTAGATGATCTGATCAGGTTGTTGATACCTGAAAAGCAAACATCTTTATGAAAACAAAAGATGGTTGGTCAACCAGGTCAGACTGTCTTCAACTGTTTCGCTTGATGGATGATGGCAAAACCCCTTTTATATCAATCCACGAATTTTTCAATTTGGGTTAAAATATAATATGACTTTTTATTTTACGAAAACTTACATTCTTTGATAAACTCTTCACCATAATACTGTTGACAATCAGCATCTGCTTGCTGGAATGTTCTATGATAAATGTCCTTGATCATCGTTGGGTTGAGTATATTTGTTTTAAAACAACCTGGTTCTAATATGCTCACTTTAATACCCTGGTGGTATATCTCTCGTCTGAATAAAAAAAATGGTGAAACCAGTCCTACATTATGAGCCACATTGACGGTGGGAGTGGTAGTCTTATGATCTAATCCGTGCATATTAAATAATAAGGTCTGTCATTGAGTCAAGTGGCGTGGTTTCGATCCCACACCTGTATACGCGCCATGGAGGAGGATCACCTGTTCAAGCTCGTTAAGCTAAACCCTCCCTCTCTCTCTCTCTCTCTCTCTCTCATAGATCAGACACCTAACCAGCCAACTGACTAGTTATTCTAATAACTAAATTTGGGTTCAGGCCGTCGATCAAATAGCCTGTTTATATCTCGGTGTATATATATATTTAAGGTCTTTGTATTATAAGAATGTGTGCGGGGCATAGGTTTCAGATCTAGGACCCGGGGCTCGCAAAATGATGATTGTTGTGGATCAATTTGGCGTTTGGTCAATTATATATCGAGGAAAACTCTTTATTCGAAATAAAATTTTACCTTAAGCTATCGGAGAAAGCTTCCACTCCATATTTGGCGATGCAGTAAGGAGTAAACGTCACAGATAAACGTCCAGACACGCTGGCCATATTTACTATCCTTCCTCTTTCCTTTCTCACCAGTGGTAAAAACGTTTTTGTGACGTCAATTACACCAAATAAATTAACATCCATTATATCTGTGTAGTCTTTTCTGTTTAAACATTCTACAGTTCCAAAACCACCACCTACACCGGCATTGTTTACAACAGCCCATAGACCTATAAATATATAAAACATTGTATACTGAAGATCTATACTGATACAAAGCATTATTTACAACAGCCCATAGACCTATAAATATATACATATAAAATACTCTGTAGGCCCAATAACATACAATACAGTGTTTAACGTTCACAAACAACTTCATTTTTGAAATAAATTTACTTCAATATTTCTCTTACGCGTAGGAGTGGGAGGAACCGGAGGACTCGTAGAAAACCCATGAGATTTGACAGGTGGTCCTACTCGTTTACAAGTCACTTGTCTCAATGACTGATCTTAAGACCTAAAGCCCACGAGGTGTACAAAGGGTTAACTGTTACAATCCAAACAGAATTAAACCATATACAACCTAAAAGTACAAGACTTTGCGACCGACTTTGCTCGGCATCGCAACATTTCATGCCGTTAATGAAAATGTTAATTTTAATTTTAGCTCCTACATCCGCTTTCAGTCGTATCTATTTTTTTCACATCGCCTTAGTACAACATCACCTTTAAATATATATGTATATACTACACTGTACTGGGTAACAAAAGCATCAACTTGTCCACCTTGAAATATAGGGATACAAACCAGTCTATGGATACATACAATATAATTTAGGATTATTGCCATACTTTGTTATAATGTTGTATGAATATGGTAACAGTCTGACCTAAAAAGCTACATCTTTATTTAAAACGGAAATAATTTGTTTTCAATTAATAACAGAGTGTTATAGTTGACGTACTTATCCTTGTATACTGCTCCATATAAAAACATATTTAAGAAGAGCAGTGTTTCTGAGTTGTGCTGGAGTGAAATTGGCGCTATCTTAAAAGTCTGTTCCAACGTCAAATAACTGCCATTCATACCAAGACGTTTACAAATTGGCGTATATGTACAAGAACTCTTGAGTAGACGGAACCGTCGGAATCGCCACTGTCCACTCTAGTTCTACTACAATTTGGATAGCTTCGAGATGCGATGTCTCTTTTCGTGAGAAGAGCCGCTTGGAATCTCCAACGTTTTAAAGTCATATTTTAATAGTTGGTGCATCTATGTGTGCATTGTTTTAAAAATATACTGTGGTTCAGATATCACCGAATTATGAATTAGATTTACCTTTATTGGGAGGTAAAATTGACTTCACTTTGGTGAGTGCAGTCTTGATATCATCTTCGGACGTAACATTTAATTGAAGTGTCTGAAGACGTTCGGATGACTTCTTCTTCAATTCAGCTGCAGCATCTTGTTTCAGACAGGCAGCAATAACATGAAATCCTAAACCATCTAATCTTTTTGCTAAAAGGTGTCCAAATCCTGAATCACATCCGGTTACTAAGACGTACTTTTCACCATAATTGCCCACCTTTAACCTCTCTAAGAACCATTTTAAGGTCCAATAACCAATTAATATGGTGATGACATAGAGCCACATTGTGAAAAAGCTGAAACAAAAGAAAATATGAAAGGTGCATAAATGATACAGGACGTGATATTATGTACCAACATTATTCTGTGAGGGAGGGGGTGTCTCCCTGCAACCTAAAGCTTCATAATTACCCCAACACTAACTAAACAAAACCATGCCATATCAAGCTTTTGCCACCTGATTGTATGTATTATATGTCATTTGATCAATGACACGCCAGTTTGAAATCATGTGATCACCCAAAATGGCTGTCTTCAAGCCAATGTGGTGAAATTTCCAAGAAACAGATATTCTGATCAAGGAAAAGGCAAAACATCTTCGCACCAATACCGTTATTAATTATAAAGAAACACTAAACGGTATTTCCCTAGCCTAGATATAGTAACTATCAACTAACTCAAACATGCGCTGTCTATGGACTTGGTCATCCATGATTTTAGTACACGTGATAGCAATTTCACAGTATTTCATTAAATGTATTCACAGAAACTATTAATCTAGATCTAATTTTAAATGGCTCTACAAATCTTTCGAACACCTCCAATATCTTGATTTTTGAAGCAGTCCATTATTTTATTAAAAGTACTCAAAGGTTTTGATTCGCTTTTACATAATATTGTTGTATAATATCAAAAAATTGCATCGTATATATCATTTCCACATGAAACTGTATATATGTTCGGTTTTACAATTTATTATATTTAATTTTATTTTTATGTATATGTCATATTTATCGTTTATTATTTTCTGTATCCCTGGGAAAGAACTTATATAGGCCTTGCCTGTTGTTCAATCCTTTTCAAACGAATAAAATATTTTTTAAACTAAATGCATTCAAATCTATTTTTGATGGCGTAGACACTCTGGCACAAGCAAACGAAAGCATCACAGTGACCTTTGTCCACTTCACCTTATCAGTCTACGAGTACACTAACCCGTTACTAGTTTGTGTCCAGAGGCAATTGACCTGATGAGCTGTGTCTTAACATTTGCACAGTGTACAGTTTGTATCCCATCAGTCGGTTCTATAATCCCCAGTTTGTGTCAACATGGTCTTCAGTCTGTGGTCTCTGTACAAACCTACCTGGTTTATCTTTATGGACTAAATAATGTCAAACACAAAGTAGTACACTATATATATATATTATCAAACATCTGGTGTATTACACATGCTCGCGTGTTTTTTAATATCAATAATATATACATATATATGTGAAAAGTTAAAGATAATTACTCTTAGGTATTAAATACACAAAAATATAAAAGTTTTTGAAAAAAAAGAGAACTACATTATTTGTCGATAAAATAAGCGAAAGTGCTAGTAATCGACAAATAATGTAGTTCTTTTTTTCAAAAACTTGTATATTTTTGTGTGTGTGTGTATATATATATATATATATTTGGATGAAATAATCTATATTTAAATAACTTTTACATAAGTGTCAAGATCTTTCGACCTTACGGCGTCTTCAGGACTAATACAAGCGAGGTTTGTCATTGTCTTTTGTATTAGCCCTGAAGACCTTGCTCACCTCGCTGTAGTCAGTATGTGAGACACAACATGCAGTTAAAAATACGTCTCTTTTTTCTAAACAGCTTTGCAGAAGCGATTGAAATCTATATTATGGGTAACGCACAAATTGACGTATCTCGGCCATATAATACGAAACGAAATTTAGGTAAGCAGGTGAATCAAAACTGTAATTGGCCTAGGCAAAACAATCAATGACTGAAGATTCTCAATTTTATTAAAGATTCCAATTGTTTCCCCCCTGCTTACCTAAATTTCGTTTTGTCATATATGGCCGAGTTACGTAAATATTTGCGTTACCATATTTAATGTTTTGCAGAAGGGGGCGTATTATCAACGGCATGTTATGTCATATTGACTCGAGCGAGGTGCAGGGTCTTATTATCACACTAAAATGTTCCTTTGCATTGTACATGAGCTCACGGGGACTGACACGTGACAGTTTAGCAGTAACAAGTTGCCCAGTAATATTTATTGGGAACTTAAATTTTTTCGACAGAGAGAGAGAGAGAGAAATGGGGTTTAACGTCCACTCGACACAAACTATCAAACATCTAGTGTATTACACATGCTCGTGTGTTTTTTAATATCAAAATATATATACCAAAAAAAGACTAATATTTGGATGAAATAATCTATATTTAAATAACTTTTACATTAGTGCCAAGATCTTTCGGCCTTACGGTGTCTTCAGTGCTAATACAAGCGAGGTTTGTCATTGTCTTTTGTATTAGCCCTGAAGACCTTGCTCACCTCGCTATAGTCAGTATGTGCGACACAACATGCAGTTAAAAATACGTCCCTTTTTTCTAAACAGCTTTGCAGAAGCGTTTGAAATCTAAAAATAAGGTAACGCACAAATTGACGTATCTCGGCCATATAATACGAAACGAAATTTAGGTAAGCAGGTGAATCAAAACTGTAATTGGCCTAGGCAAAACAATAAATGACTGGAGATTCTCAATTTTTTTAAAGATTCCAATTGTTTCCTCCCCTGCTTACCTAAATTTCGTTTTGTCATATATGGCCGAGTTACGTAAATTTTAGCGTTACCATATTTAATGTTTTGCAGAAGGGGGCGTATTATTAACGGCATGTTATGTCATACTGACTCGAGCGAGGTAAGCAAGGTCTTATTTTCTCACTAAAATGTTCCTTTACATTGTACATGACCTCACGGGGACTGACACGTGACCGTTTAGCAGTAACAAGTTGCCCAGTAATATTTACTGGGAACTGAAATTTTTTCGACAAGGAATCAATAGGCCTGTTCCTGAACGTACAGGGCCAGTGTAACGAGAACTTACGTTCAAAGCTGAACTGTGTGGCCGTTGCTATGTGTCTATGAATGACCTTGCCCTTTATAATGTCATCTATTTTATGTAAACAAATTTTGAAATTGTAATATAAAGTGTTACTGGTGACTGACAGTTACTATAGGTATGTTACACCATTATAATGTGCAGACACATTCTCCAATACAAGACTTGAATAAAGGTTGCATTTTATTTCAGTGGTTGTATTTGAAAATCACGTGCTGTATGAGTAAGTGGGTCAGACGCTGGCTCCCTAGCCTGGAGGTCGCGTGTTCGATCCCTGCATTGGCAGAGAAAGTTCATAACCAATTAATATGGTCATTACACACAGACCCATGTGGTTGAAATAAAATATATAGAAATGACCTCATAGAACAGTATAGCCGCATTAAGTAGGACGTTAAACCCTATTTAATCTATATATCGATATATCGTTGAATTCGGTAAATGCAACTATCAGCGTTAGCGCCTTGACAGTATCGTGCATGCTGTGAACATTTATACAGTAATATTATCCTAATATATAACAGTTACGTTATCTGCCATGGGCTACTTATCACCCGTCGAAACATACCCGGGTTTTCTTTACGCCACAAATGACGCAAAGCAGAATCAATGAAATGAAATGAAATGGGGTCCGTCCTACTATTCTGCTCCTATACTGGGCTAAAGAAGACGGGCATACACCATACAGTGTGCTATGAGGGAAATTTTGCCCGGCCAGCGACCTTGGTTTGTCGTCCCATCCGAACGACTAGACAGATGTCCTTGTCCGGCCTTCTGTCCTGCATCACTGACAAGGTGGGGGCGGGGGGACCACGCCGAAAAATCTGGATGAACTTTCTCTGCCAATGCAGGGATCGAACACCCGACCTCCAGACTAGCGAGCCAGCGTCTTAGCCATCGTGGCGCCAGGGCCGTAAATAGCTCAGAGCAACGAGGGTGGCGGGAAGTGTTCTAGGGGGTGCTGTAATATGGACGGACAATGTGACGCCCCAAAGCAGAATCAATATTCACATGCTGTATTTAATGTGATTCAGCGCACAGTAAGAAATATAGTGTATTTGTAACTAGAGCATGACGGTAAATACTATGCAGCGGGCAACCTTGACATTGTTTTAAAAATACATGGGGTAAAATCTATTAACAGGCACAGATGCACGATTTTTGAAAAGGATTTGCGGTTGGAAATAATTTTTGATGAAAACGTTGAGGTAAAAAGGGTTTGGGAACTTTCTTTGGTTATTTTGTTTTCAAAAACAAACACAAAGGGTAGATTTTTTAGTCATTGACTGGAATATTCTTATTTAGTCTTCGAAAATCCCGTATCTTAGCGGAATATAGTCCGCTGTTGGATTCACAACTGACACGGCTCAATAAGCACACACCTATTAAATGTGTGGTATACAAACATATTAAAGGGAGAAGAAGTGGAGTAGGGTAACGCATATTAAAGGGAATCGGGTGATCACACATTTTATGGGGTTTGATACTTATACAAATATTAAGGGGGAGGGGGGTACTATACTTATTAAAAAGCTGGGATATTCATACATCTGTAGGGGAGGGGTGGGGTAGGTTAACATATTTTGAAGGGACTCTTGTAATCGTTCACATTAAAGGGGTGAGATATTTACACATATTTAAGGGTGGGGATACTGGCACATATTAAAGGGCATGGATAACCAAACATATTAAATGACTGGAATACTCATTCATATTAAAGAGATGTGATACTCAGACATTTTAAAGTGCTGGGATACTCACACATATTGTAAGGCTTGGATAGGCAAACATATTAAAGGGCTGGAATATTCGGTTTATCGCACCCCTGTCCTCGCAAGGTTCCCTTACTGTACCATTGACAAGGGGGAACCAAGTTGGAAAATCTCGGCGAACTTTCTCGGCCAACACCAGGATTGAAGCCCGCACCTCTTGGTCATCAACCGAGTGCCTTATTCTCTGCGCCACCATGCCTTCCACAATGGAATTCAATATTGTATATCTAATCTTTTCTTATTAAGAGTACAATTTTTGGTTTCTTTAAAAATTTTAATCATTAGTTCGTACAATTTGATGGACTGACATTTAAAAAGATTAGATTGAGGTATTAGTCAAATCTGCTGTCATCATTGATTTTAGATGTTATCACTGTTTAACAAGCGTAGTTCAAGCAATGTTTATTTCATCCCTGCAGGTTGGGGAAAATTGTAGCAAATAATAAAATCTGATATCCATTCTGGAACAGTCCATAAAAATCTGGCGAGGTAATTAGCATCGTTTCCTATGATATATCTAAACTTTGGGTATCTGGCTGTAATGGCATGTACATAGGCGTCTATCACCTTATAGAATTTGTCTGAAGCTTGGTTTTGAAGGTCTCTGATCACTTTATTGGTGTCTGAAAAGGAAAATACGTCGACAGATGTAACACATATTGGACTGTGTAGAATATGCTAGAGTCGATTTGTAGCATATCTGTCCCACGGTATATGTTTGAAACTGGTTGAGCATTATGATTATAATGTTGAAAACGCATTAAAACCGCATGATTGTTTTGCAGCGGTGCCGGAACCCGTGTACCGGGGTATACAAATGGTACCCTGCCCTTTTCTGGGCCCTAATGATGAAAGTTTTCAACCTTTTTACTAGTCTATTCATTTTTAAATGATATGTAATTGCTCTCTGGTCGGTCGCGAATCGCCTGTCGCACTAATAAGGCTTTTGTCTCTTTCATTATTATGTATTTTAAAGAGTTTTATGTTGGAATTTGGAATGCTAGAGGCGCTCTAAACAGCGTTCTCGGCGCCCCTGATCTTTTGTCATTTGCGACAAAGCTCGTTATTGCGTTCCTCGCACTTAGGCCCTGGTACATGACACAATGCCAGGCATCGTGACGTATTGGGCAGTACTGATTAATTTAGAAGAATAGTAACCAGATTTTAGATTCAGATTGTTAGACTATATAATTATATTAAATTCGCGTCAAGCGATTCATGGAAATTTAAACTCACGCCCCATTTTGTTTCCCTTATACTAATGTATGTCGCAATGGTTCATTCGTTTATTTTCCCCTCAATGACTTCGGTGAACGCTTACATTCTTTGATAAACTCTTCGCCATAATACTGTTGACAATCAGCATCTGCTTGCTGGAATGTTCTATGATAGACATCCTCTATTATCGTTAGGTTGAGTATATTTGTTTTAAAACAACCTGGTTCCAAGATGCTCACTTTCACACCCTGATGGTATACCTCACGTCTGGATGAAAGAAAATACACAATTCATTTTAACATAAAATATCATATTATCAAATCATTTTTCTTTTAAGGTCGTACATGGCGCAGGGTGTGGTTACTTTGCTAGAATACCCGATACCACGTGTTTTGCCTTAGTACGCGGAATAAAATGTGGATAAACATCCTACTTTTCTGCACCAACCCGATTAACGCAGTATACTATGAGGGCTGGCTGAAGAGGTCTAAGCCAGAAAAGGATACATCGATTGGGTTGAAATACATTTTTGATATTAACATGTACATTCATTGATTGGATTATAGACATACGAGCTGCAATTGTAGTTTTATTATTGCCTTCGTACCAGACCAGCTTGTGAACATAACCAGCTTGTGAACATAACCATTGAAACAAGATGACTAGTCATCACCATCCCGCGTCCTTGAACTTGTTTGGAAGGCATAAGGATAGATAGGTTGCCAGGCAACGAAACATACGCCCACAGCAGCTAAATCGTCCGGGCAGTCAACAAGAGTTGTCGCATATTTTTACTTTTTTCGGTAATGAAACATTTATAATACACTAAAATCTGATTAAGAGCAACAACTCAGAAAACCATTAGAATTTGTTTGGTTTTTATAAAGTTCTGCCCCATGCTAACGTTTTGTATACAAAACTTTTAATATCATGGATTTAGCTGTTCCAAGTCAAAAAAATCAATGAAAATCAATATACTTGTTCCTCTCAAGATCTTAAACTCTGTGTATCAAGCTGAAGTCAATCGGATGATAACTTTAGCCTTTAGAGCGTCACAAGATTTTGCAAAGTGATCAAGGGCCATAACTTTGGCAGTAATTATCGTTGAAAATCAATAGGATTCTTCGTCTCATGATCCTAAACACTGTGTATAAATTTAAGGTCAATCGGATATTAACTTTGGCCTCTAGAGCGTCCACAAGATTTTATGAAGTGATCAAGGGCCATAACTCTGGTAGTAATTATCGGAAATCGCTGAAAATCAATAGGCTTCTTCGTCTCATCCACTTAAACACTGTGTATAAATTTAAGATCAATCGGATATTAACTTTGGCCTCTAGAGCGTCCACAAGATTTTTTGAAGTGATCAAGGGCCATAACTCTGGCAGTAATTTTCGGAAATTGCTAAATATCAATAGGCGTCTTCGTCTCATGACCTTAAACACTGTGTATGAATTTAAAGTCAATCGGATATTAACTTTGGCCTCTAGAGCGTCCACAAGATTTTTTGAAGTGATCAAGGGCCATAACTCTGGCAGTAATTTTCGGAAATTGCTAAAAATCAATAGGCTTCTTCGTCTCATGACCTTAAACACTGTGTATGAATTTAAAGTCAATCGGATATTAACTTTAGCCTCTAGAGCGTCCACAAGCAATTGTGGACGCCGGACCGACGGACCGACGGACGGACGGACGGGGGCGACGACAATATACGACCACATTTAAATGTGGGCGTATAAAAACAACTTCTATGGGACTAGTCAGAAGATTCATACTCTGATCATAGTAGTTCGGCAAGGCAAAGTCGCTACTCTCTGTAAGGATTGCACAACAACCTTTGCCTACCTCAATCAGCTGCTGTATGTTAAACATTAAGCTTAAACATCAGAAAATAAAATACTTTAATAGTTTGATGTTTGTATAAAGTTTTAAAAAGATTTCTCTGAACAGATAATGAAATATGCTCTACAAATGAAATCAGGACAGAAGAAATGTCATCAAAAAATAAAATAATAGGTTGATGAATGTAAAAGTGTTATAAAGGTAACACTTGTGTTGGATCTCAACACAAGTACTTGTGTTAAAAATAATCTACACAAGTTATGTGTTGTTTTGCATTGCATTAACACAAACTTGTGTCGATTTATAAAATCTTGTGTTTTTTTCATATCATTAACACAAGTAATGTGTACCTTCCAAGATTTGTTTTCTTTTTAAAAAAATAACTCCATACAAAGTCTGAATTCGGGAGTCGTCAAGTTTTAAGAAAAGTAATAAAGGGCTTAATTCACATCTCGAAAATCACATGCTGTTCTTCACTGGAAGGGTGTGAGTACCAATTAATCAGACAATTGCCAGACAGACTTGAATGTTAATTGATGTTAAGTTGTCTGTATAGTTAAAATGTCTGTCTTTTTTTATTGACCCAATAAACTGATAGATCAAATGAATATATAGTGTACATGTGATTTTCAGCACCCTGGTGTTTTCGAAAATTGATTCAATGTACAATGAACAAAAAAAATGAGTAAAACTCTTAATAATGTAATTGGTTGATGTAATCGAAATTGGACAGTATTGGTTAACTGAAAAGTAACCAATCAAATTTAATTGATCATCCACGTGTATCTCATAATCGACTTATTGATATAATGGTTCTCCAAGTTATCTATACTTTTTGTCTGCGATATCACTTCGGTGGAAGCGGACGTAAAATACAACTAACTAAGAAGAAGTATCTATACTTTAGTCATTGCGACAAATTCTTTCTTTGATATTATATCAGCGACATTCAGTTAGATAGATGTAGTGAAGTTAGCATCAACAGGGTGCTTTAGCCGTGATATTTTAAAAAAAAATTATAATGGTCACATAGAATACCAGACCGCAGGTTTGTAAATTTTTACAAAAAATAAAACCGTGTATTTAATTTAGCATGTATATATTGCTTCTATGTATATAATAATTCGTTTCGTTTAAAACAGTCAGATTTAGAACTACTGCCACTGACTGCATCGGAAGTCTATTTATATAATGGCGCCACAAAGAAAAATTTTTTGATGTGTTCTAAAAGTGTTCCGCTAATTCAGCAATCTAATGAATCTGTCTTAATTTTTCTGAAATCGTGCTTAATTATTATTAGCTAATCGGCGCTACACCGTTGTTCAAATACTTATAATTGCAAGAAACCCCCGACTAGGACCAGCAGGTAAGAATCTGTCTTGATTTTATAGTAATACCCGGTTGCAATTATTGGCCGCCATCTTTGATTTTTATAGACGTTCGGGCAAAAGGAGAAATGTATATCCAGACATGGACTATAGCTAGATACTAACTTTTGTGTTAGTTGTTTAGTTGAAATGTAATCTTATTTCTGTAAAAGAAAAAAACAACAACAAACAAATCAGCCTTTTTTTTATATCAATGTCATCAATGTGTAGGCCTAATATTAGACTTTCAATGATTCAGAAGTTTCTCTACAGTTTCGTTATTTTTTTTTCCAGTCATTGATGTTAGCATGTACTACACAAAGAAAAACAGGTAACAGAATTTCATTTCCTTTTAATATATTTTTTTAATAATGGCCAATAATTGTTATTGTATGTAACACGAAAAGTATTTATCTCGGTAGAGAGAGGGTGAGTAAATGGGGGTTAAAGTTCACTAAATTCACTTGACACAAACTATGCCATTCATTTCCTTGTATTAAATTGGTCGAATCAAGTAGGTCCATGCTATATATATGTCCTAGAATCAAGTAGGACAGGTAGTCTTCTTCCGTTTCCGCCCTTTTTCTGAACACTGTCTCATTCTATTGCCATCTGTGTATGTTGTGTTATATTAATTCTGCATAATTAACTCTAGTTAACCTAGTTAACTCTATAATAATAAATGAATTTAATATATAAATAAATAAATAAAATATAAATAAACCAATAATATATTTGTAGTTTAATATGTTTTATCTTATCATTACAGGCAAAGCATGAAGCCAAAGGAAATGTTTTTACCAAGGCATGTTCCTCAATAGCGGAGAGAGTTTTATCCAGTGTCGGTTCTGCAGAAGAACCCATTAATAGCAGACCACCCATTGCAGCACTTGTAAGGTCGCTATAAAGAACCCGACAGACTGCGACCAAAAGATCCCACTGACGTGTCGTCAAGCGTAAGTACTCATGCAATTAAATACCCATGTATATAAGAATTTATTAACATGTAATTAAATGTACAATTTTATTTATTTATTAACATGTACTTAAATGTACTTTTTTATTTATTTTTTGTTTTAGCTTGACGAAGATTTCATCGATCATAGTGCACCGGGATTTTATCAAAAAGGAGTAAAAGTTGGGGAAAGCCGCCATCACATTTTTTGTACTGATAGACAGATGCAACTACTCGCACGCGCAAAAACTTGGTATATGGATGCAACTTTTCAGGTGGTGAACAAGCCATGGTCTCAGCTGTTTTCCATCCACGCCTTCATTAAGACTGGAGAGACCACCCGACAGTTACCATTGGTGTTTTGTGTAATGTCGGGTAAAAGCCAAGACGACTATTATACGGTAAATAGCACTTACTGATTGAATTACTATTAATAGTAAAAAAGGACTATTATTTGGGACCTTGAAATTGTCACAAATGGGTCGCACTAACAGCGACATTTGTTTCAGGCATATTTGTTTCATCGGGGACACGTCTGGTGTCATGTGAATGCAACGACAACAGCCCGATTGATTGATTTGTTGATTGGAGTTCAGATGTCTACATTAAAATCGACCACTTTCAGGTTGCCGTATTCACGGCCAGGTAAGACCGACTTGAAATTTCTAGAAATTTTTCTGGGGGAGACAGGCCCCAACAAATCCCCCGACGGTGCGTTTCACGACTTTGGCGCAAGACGGTGACCTTGAAGAGACGTCGAAAACCATTTAATAGACATAGTAAAAGTCATATCTTACGAGATTATCGCTGGTCTTGTCAGAAAATGCTATTTTATATATGACCAGTTTGTGTTTGAAAAATTTAATTATTTATTCTCCCACCATTAAAGCACACTAATTACGAAATATCGCTCTCAGAAACTTCATGGTTTCTTTTGCAATTTGTTTGGGGTAAGACGTTATATAAATAATATCAATCTGTCTACCACACAAATTTAACAGATACAAATGCATGTTATTCCACAGGTAGACAGACAGGGCCTCCTTTGAAGGGACTCAGTGAAGGGAACGCGGTTGGTTTAGAGTTTGTCTGACCCCTTTGAATATTTGCGTCTCATCTCCAATGAAAACAATCATGTTGCTCTCATGCTCTTCTCAACCAGAATCAAACATATATCGTACCTGAGATTTGTTAGCATGTTCCACACAACCCAACATTTATCGGCACCGGGATTAAGGGTGTATATCTTTGTTTCTAACGCTTATTGGGAATACGCCACGGAAACTACAATAAAAACTTATTTACAAAAACATTCTAAAGAGGGAAAACTGACATATTTCAAGCTTTACTATATTTAAAGAAATAATTTAAATCAGCCGGCTGAAACCCCGTCTCCACTATTTGTTCAGTCATTCTTTAGGTATAGTGCCAGTTTCCACCGACAATGATATTGCAAACAGGTGTCCAATCTATAAAAGCATACATTCCTACAAAATGTTTCTTTAGTCAAGTGAAACAATAAATTCATAACTATGCGAGGGTGTGGTGAGTAAATTCGTGGTAATAAGTGTGAATAGGCTAATGTGACATAGAACAAGGTCACATTGATGTTGACAAATACGTAAGACGATATGAACATCAACTAAAAAGATATGTAATGTGATTCAGCTGCAAGGTGATATGTGCATATATGCAGCATAGATAATTAAAACTTCTATTCAAGTTAAACCAACTGTATCTATTTATTTAAGTCTTACGTCGAGCTGAATACATTTTATGATTTATTTTCATCTATTGGTGGTTAACAGTGTGTAACTAAAAACTAATATTGGATCTTATTATTGCCAATGATATAATGTACATGTAATAGCAAGTGTATTTATATTTTTTGTTCAGTCTGTACACAGTAACATATCTGAGAACCATATTATTATCATTTCTGCCCAAGGCTCCCTGTGCCTTATAGTTAGCAGTGATACAAGGCAATTACCAATTTTCCATGTTCTTGGCCTGAAGAAATAAAATAATAAAAGTCAAGTTTTTATTATTATGCAAGTGGAAAAATACAATTATTCATAGTATGATTTGAATAAATACAACTGATTTGAAGTTGGAATTATTATTTGTCTAAGATGACTGGGCATTTACAAATTGAAATAGCTACTCTTCATCAAGAAAATACATGAATATTTTTCCCAATTCACCTGGATTTTATTGTAGGTCTTTGTACGTGAAATAGCTTTATTTAACGTCCGCTACCACCGAAGTGATATTGCAGAAAATTAACAAATTCGGATTCCCTTTTAAAGGAAATTGACTGCACTATCGCTGGATTGTATTATATAGGTAATGTCAGTTTTTTTCAAAATGGCGCCCAGAACACAAAACAAACATTGCCATTCAGGGCTGACTGGTGTCGAGGCTGTATCCTAAGAATGATTTTTTGAATATTTAATCACACAGAAACACAAGTATGCACATGCAGTTATGATATAATATTAAATTAGCTTACCTCAAATACCTCAAAATATACTGTTTGGTCAGTTTGTCCTTCGGCCAATTAAAATGGACGTATATTTTGTTTTAACCGAAACGAAAAATTTGCGTTATAAATAGTAAACGAGCTTGATTGACCGACCACTGCTAATGTTTTTTCGTGAAACGGTATAACTGCAGTCAACACACGGCCGCCATTCTCGATGATTGACAACTCACGTTTTTCCTCATCCACCAAAGAACCGTTAGGTTTCTTTGAACATACTGTAATAACATTGGGATTATCAGTTAATCAGCTTTAATTATCCCGCTTTGATCGTTGCCATTTCTTATATTTTCCACAAAAAAACTTTGCCTTGTACGCACTAATTTATCAATTGGTATTGCCATCTACGACAAGCATGTCAACGTGCAGCTCACGGATTATCGTTAACAATTTCTAGGGGCTTGTAAAAAAAGATTGCATGTCGTGTAAATATTTATTTTGTTTTTTGTGTAGGTCATTTTCAAATAAATTCATCAGCATATTATTCGTTTTAAATAAATATAAAACTTTTTATGAGAAACGATGATTATCAAAGAACCGTAAGTGCAACTAATGTTTTATCGTTTGGTTGAGCCTTTTACTAACCACGTGTTTCATGTTAATAAATATTTTCTTTCGTGTTTTGTTTGAATTGGCCTATTTCTAATAAATTATCCCGAGTCCCAAACGTCGTTAACCCGAGTCCCAAACGACGTATACCAAAGTCCCAAACGTCGTATACCGGAGTCCCAAATGTCGTGGTCATATTTTTTTGAGTCCCAAATGACGTGAGTCCCAAATGACATGTAATCAACCTAGAGTTGTTGTTAGTGTTTGTCGGATAGATCCTTTATACTTACTGGCGCTAGGTAATTTCGAGGCTAATATTGTTCAATTTTATTTGAATGATTTGCTTGCGCGTACCATAGGAGTGTATTAGAAACAGTGTTTGCGCAGGTTCGAGAACGGCTGAAGAACATGAAAACACTTTCATGAGTCTCGAACATGAGAGAACAGTATCCATGGTAACAAGATGAATTAAATTTATACAATCTGTTACGATAACTTGTTTAGTATTTACTTCGCTATTAAGCATAATTTTGATAAATTATGACACCGTTTTACTCCTTTTCAATTCTTTGGATGACGATTACATCACCTTTTGATACGCCCTCGTCCGTAGGTTTGTCCGTCGTCTACAGAACTGATTATTTTGAAATTGATATGTTGTTTATTTTAATGAGATGAATCCTATTTAATTTCAATAATTTCTGTTAGTTTCTTCTGGAGTTATGGCCCTTGTTTCACTTTGTGAAATTCATTTGAATCTTTTAAATTAGTGAAACGAAGACGTCTATTAAATTTCTGCGATTTCTGTGAATTATGTCTAGATTTGTGGCCCTTGTTTCACTTTTTCGAACCTTGTGAACGCGCGAACAACAAAATTATCATCCGATTTGTATGAAAATTGTATGCATTATTTAAATTAGTAAAACACAAAACAAAAAAATCTGTCAAATTTCAACAATTAAGGCCCTTGTTTCAGTTTGTAGAACCTTTGTAAACCCACAAACGACGAAAATTATTATCTTGTTCGAAATTTTCTTGTAAATGCCCACATTACCTACAAAAGAATGAATATGCGACAATCCCTGTTGACTGCGCAAACGATTAAACTGCTGTGGGCATATGTTTCGTTGCCTGGCAACCTAACTTACTTGATGTTATACTGGCCACATACTACATCCAATTTTCGAACGGTATTAAACTTTTAAATTAATAAATGCACCCATGATGCTGTTTTCTCAGCAGTTATCGATACGTCGACCATGTTTGTTCTCCTTCACACCAACTATGAGGTAGTGTTGGATTTGAGAACGGGAATGTGTTCGTGAACGCATTCCAGACTGCTCAAGTCCGACAAGAACCCATTCTCCGTCCGTTCTCTGCACCGGAACACTGTATCGAATACACCCTAGGGGTATTTAGCAAAGGGAGGAAACCGGAGGACCCGGAGAAAACCCACAAGGCTGGACAGGCGACCCTATTCCTAGTCACATTCAAGTGGGGAATCACATAATAATGGCCTATTTCAAATAAGATATTTGCATATAAAGAAAGTAGGCTTACAGCCTCTTTCAAATGTGATATTTGCATATAAAGAAAGTACAAACTTAAATCGTCAGTGCTGGAAAAACTAGCCAAAGGATTTGGCTGAATCAATTGGCGCTAAACTTCACCTAGTTTATCCACTGACATACGCCCGAATCAAACATGTTTGATATATTTGGCCGAATTGTATTTGAGTGGTGTGTCCGCTTCGCCGAAGCATTCGTCTGATTTTAGAATTCATTAGCCAATCACCACTCATTCATATCGAGTGGGTATCGCAAACTAGCAGTCGAACTGTGACACGGGTGCTACAGCCAACAAATTCCAACTACCATACTATCGGCTTTAATGCACGCCAATGGGACCTCAGGTTTTGTGTTCCATTGAAACGACTAGAAATGAAATGAAATGGGGTTTAACGTCCTACTGTTTTGCTCCGAACTGGGCTAATGAAGACAGGCATACACCACACAGTGTGCTATGAGGGAAATTTTGCCCGGACAGCGGCACTGCGGTGTATCGAATTCCAACTGTCAAGGGATCTTTTACGTGCACGCCAACGTGTACACGGGACCTCGTTTTTTCATTTCATCCGAATGACTAGACAGCTGTCCTTGTCAGGCCCTCCGTCCTGCATCACTGACAAGGGGGAACCACGCCGGGAAATCTGGGTGAACTTTCTCGGCCAATGCAGGGATCGAACACCCGACCTCCAGGCTAGCGAGCCAGCGTCTTACCCACTTAGCCACCATGACGACTAGGCATGGAATCCATGCTGAAAAATTCAAATGAGCTTTCAACACTGGGAGCGAACCCGCAACCTCCCGGGTACCAAGCCAGTGCCTTACACACTAAGCCACATGACTCTCTTCTAATTACTGTGACAGTCCAGTCACATGACAAACAAGGGTTATTAAAACAGATTTTCAAGGCTTGGGTAAGATCTTCGGGATTCAAATGGTTTTAGATATCACACAGTTTGTATATGGTAAGGTATCTTAAACAGTTTATTACAAGTCACATATTCATATTTTTCAGTTTCCATATTAGATGCCATAGCAAATCAAAGATCATATAATAAAATAAGTCAAAAAACCCAAATATGGAAAAAGAAAGAGCTGAAGAAATGGTGATTTGAGCACCTATGCTTTCTCATAGGTGTTTTTGGAGGGTGAGTGTTCAATTCTAATAGAAAAGATTGTTGTTATGGTATTTTAGAATCTCACCATAATGTGTTTGGCACAATATATCCCGGTTGGAGCTGATGTGACATAAACCTCCATTTCATTTTATTGTTTTGAAATTTAAAATTCAGTTTAGTATAGTAAATTTGTACACGTACATGTATGTGCACAAACAGAATCTTACTTATGTCCAGATACATGTAGATATGACTGTCTCATCTGTGGGGGACCACGGTGGCCAAGTGGGTTAGACACTGGCTCGCATATTTTAAGGTCGCGGGTTTGCAGTAAGACATTGCAGTACGGAGGACTGGGCTAATGAAGTTGGGCATATGCCATACAGTGTGCTACGAGAGAAATTTTGCCGGGTACCGTGACCTTAAGGCCTTCTCTTGTATCAAATTCTAACTGCCAGGGGATCTTTTACATGCACACCAATGTGTACACGGGACCACGCTTTTTTGTTCAATCTGAATGACTAGACAGCTGTCCTTGTCAGGCCCTCCGTCCTGCATCACTAACAAGAGGAAACCACGCCGGAAAATCTGGGTGAACTTTCTCGGCCAATGCAGGGATCGAACACCCGACCTCCAGGCTAGCGAGCCAGCGTCTTACCCACTTAGCCACCATGACGACTAGACAGGGAATCCATGCTGAAAAATCCAAATGAGCTTTCTCGGTCAACACTGGGAGCGAACCCGCAACCTCCCGGGTAGCAAGCCAGTGCCTTACATACTAAGCCACATGGCTCTCTTTTAATTACTGTGACTCTCCAGTAAAAAAACCCAAATATGGGAAAAGAAAGAGCTGAAGAAATGGTGATTTGAGCACCTATGATTTCTCATAGGTGTTTTTGGAGGGTGAGTGTTCAATTCTATTAGAAAAGATTGTTGTTGTGGTATTTTAGAATCTCACCATAATGTGTTTGGCACAATATAGCCCGGTTGGAGCTGATGTGACATAAACCTCGATTTCATTTTAATATTTTGAAATTTAAAATTCAGTTTAGTATAGTAAAACTGTACACGTACATGTATGTGCACAGACAGAATCTTACTTATGTCCAGATACATGTAGATATGACTATCTCATCTGTGGGGACCCATGGTGACCAAGTGGGTTAGACACTGGTTTGCATATTTTAAGGTCGCGGGTTTGCAGTAAGACGATGCAGTACGGGGGGCCTTACAAGGACAGCTGTCTAGTCGTTCAGATTGAACAAAAAAACGTGGTCCCGTGTACACATTGGCGTGCATGTAAAAGAGCCCCTGGCAGTTAGAATTTGATACAAGAGTAGGCCTTAGGGTCACGGTACCCGGCAAAATTTCTCTCGTGGCACACTGTATGGCATATGCCCAACCTCATTAGCCCAGTCGAAGCTGAACAGTAGGACGCCAAACCCCATTTCATTTCATTTTTTTCATTTTGTCTCATCTGTGACAAAGCAAACCAACACATTACAATACAATTTAATTAAATTAAAACTTTCGTCTATTTAAAAATTGAATCGATTTAAGTCAACTAAAACATAGTATGTTTTTTTTCTCAGTTAACTACATCAGAAAGATCAAGACAGTTGGAAATGGCTATTCATATTATGGAAACTTTTTCTCACAGAGCTTGATAATCAGGTAAAATGTAAGTAACATATATATTTGTATTTTTAATCATCAACTAGTTCTATACACTTGATTGGTAATCTAGTTATTCTTCTTGGGGCAATGCCTAGGACTCTCCTATTCAAGTCTTGGCATTCTTGATTTTTGACAATCACATCCATTGATTTTCTTCAAGTTGTGATAGACCCTATGTGTATTTTTACAGTAAATAGCAGTATAAAAATGGACAATATTTTACTTTTCAAATACATTTTAATAGGTAATATCCAATTTGTTGTCGATGGAAATAAAATATAATAATCTGCCTAGGTCTGTTACTGGACAAGACACAATAAGTGTTACCCAAAGATGAAACAAAATAGAGACTCAGTCTCGATATGGCAAAATAAATTGTTTATTTAAACATTGTGAACCATAAATAGTAAGAAAGTATTCTTATTGCCTACTTTTTATTTTTTAGGCTGGAAGATTATTTGTTGTATGATAACAACAAGAGATCCCAAGCATCAATTTATTTTATAATTCTGGAAAAGAATGCATTTGACCCAATTTTTGAATATTTTTTTTTTGTTTTTACTGTTAAATATTCATCCCAAACACAATTAGATTTTAATTCTCTACAGAAATTTATGTATAATATAGAATGTAAAGTGACATATAAATCACTTAGAATTTGGTCGGAAATCATAAAGTATTTAATAGGCATAGTCTAGATTCTGCCCTACAACCTACTCTTATATCAAATATTTCAACTGTCAAGGGTTGTTTAAAGGGAACCCAGGAGGGCCGAATGGTTAACACACGCACATTGGATCAGAAGGGTCTGTCATTGAGTCAGATAATTCAATTGTCAAGGGTTCTTTAAAGTAAACGCAGTGGGGGTAGTTTCAATTCTGGGCTTATACCCAATTATCCCTTGCCATGTCCTACACTACTGACGTGTGGGAACTATGTCGGAAAATCCAGTTGAAATTTCTCGGCCAATGCACTCACTGAACCACAGTGGCTCCTCCTTGCTTTTGACTTGTGATTATTTATATATATTTTGTACATATTATTTAATGTTTGCGATTTTCTCTGATATTTTTTTATTTTTCAATCCTGTAATCTTGATGCTTTGCTCCTTTTATGTACAAAATATTCATTTTGTTTGTTGTTTTTTTTTAATGAGGAAAAGGTTCTACATCATTTTATTACTCCTGCAAAATAGTGCATTTTTCTTTTGTTAGTTTTCTGTGTATGCTAGTTATTTCTAGATGCCTCACAAATCACTTGTAATATGACTTTGTAGCACTTTTCAGTTTCTGAAAGTATTTCAATTTAGTGCATAATTAATCTAATTAGGGCTTGGTTTGGATGTTATTAAATTTAGATATATTTGAATTATATATTTTTGGGGTATGGGGTAGGGATCTTTCTTTTCTCAGTTCTTGTTTTCGGGTAAAGAAAAAATTAAATAGCTATTTTGTATTTTGTGATGTGATGTGGGGGGGGGGGGGGGGCAAAGTATAACAAAAATTTTATTAGTATTAGAATTATATCTCTGTTTTTCTGTTAACATTTCAAATGATGTCTATTTAGTTTTGATTTGGTGGTGTTAATTTACTTTTTCCTATCATTTTATGAATAAATGATAATTTAACAAATAAAATTATTGTTACCTCATTTATCAAACTTTACAGGTTAAACAGAGCAAAAGGGGTGGGGGGCTGCATGGCAAAGATTGCTAAATTGAGGGAAAATAAAACACAAGTTTTTGTTGGTGGTTATACACAAGTTTTTATGAAACCACACAAGTTTCAAAAATTTCAACACAAGTTTCAGAAATTTCAACACAAGTTTCAGAAATTTCGACACAAGTTTCAGAAATTTCAACACAAGTTTCGACACAAGTATTGTGTAGATTTTCACACAAGTTTCAACACAAGTTTGTGTTGTTTGGTATCTTGAACAGTTTCTGTGATATGCTCTAGAATAATAATTATATACCAAAAAATAATACAAATGTGTAGTAAAAATCATTCAACAGATAATTGTTTTCCATGGCAACGCAGAAATTATTAAATCTGACAAATTTCTAATTAGCAAAAGGCACAACTACTGTAATAGGATGATGTGTGTTCAAAGTTTCAACTAGTAAGAATATATATATTCTGAGCACAGTAGTTCAGCATGTCGGGGTTGCACCATCAGTTGCGCCCAGCGTCTAATTCTTTAGACAAATCTCATATTCCGACACATGGAATATCAATTCACAGAATTTCATACTCTGGTCACAGTAGTTCGGCAAGGCAGGGTCGCTACACGCTGTAAGGTTTGCTCAACAACCTTTGCCTAACTCAATCAGCTGCTGTATGTTAAAAAATAAACTTATACATCAGAAAATAAAATACTATAATAGGTTAATGTTTGTACAAAGTTTCAAAAAGATTTCTCGAACAGATAATAAAATATGCTCCAGAAACAAAATCAGGACGGAAGGCTGGATTTCAGAAAGGAAAAATAATGGGTAAAATTATTTTAAAGGTATCTTGAACAGTCAAATGTGTTTCCATGGAAACACGTAAAATTATCAAATCTGAGAAATTCAAAATAAGTGCCAAGAAGATATCTTGAACGGTTTATGAGATATGCTCCGGGAAACAAAATTGTACACCAAAAACTAAGTCAAATTTGTTTCCATGAAAACACAAAAAATATTAATCCAAGAAATTCCTAAATAGCAAAAGGCACAACTACTGCAATGAGTAGATGTCTGTACAAAGTTTCAAAAAGATATCTTTAACGGTTAATGAGATATGCTCCGGAAACAAAATTATACACCAAAAACTAAGTCAAATGTGTTTCCATGGAAACACAAAAAAATATAAATCCCAGAAATTCCTAAATAGTAAAAGGCACAACTACTGTAATAGGTTGATGTGAATGCAATGTTTCAAAAAGATATCTTAAACGGTTTATGAGATATGCTCTGGAAACAAAATTGTACACCAAAAACTAAGTCAGATTTGTTTCCATGAAAACACAAAAAATATAAATCCCAGAAATTCCTAAATAGCAAAAGGCACAACTACTGTAATGAGTAGATGTCTGTACAAAGTTTCAAAAAGATGTCTTGAACGGTTTATGAGATATGATTCGGAAACAAAATTATACACCAAAAACTAAGACAAATTTGTTTCCGTGGAAACACAAAAAAATATAAATCCCAGAAATTCCTAAATAGCAAAAGGCACAACTACTGTAATAGGTTGATGTGAGTGCAAAGTTTCAGAAAGATATCTTGAACGGTTTATGATATACTCCGGAAACAAAATTGTACACCAAAAACTAAGTCAAATTTGTTTCCATGGAAACACAAAAAATATAAATCCCAGAAATTCCTAAATATCAAAAGGCACAACTACTGTAATTGGTTGATATGTGTGCAATGTTTCAGAAAGATATCTTGAACGGTTTATGAGATATGTTCCGGAAACGAAATCGGACGGACGGACGGACCCCGTTTCAATATCCCTCCCTAACTTCGTTCGGCGCGGGATAATAAGCAGAAAAGGACAAAACTGGCTATGGGACAGTCATCAAGTACATGCAACTGAAAGGATTAACCCCCGCACAGATACATGCCGACATTAAAGCGTGGCAGAGAGATTCTTGATCATGACCCGCGTCCTGGAAGGCCATCAAGGAAACATTACTCATTTGCATGACATGGTGATGGCTGATCGACGATTGATCACTCGACATATTGCCAGTGTTGTGGGCATCTCTCATGAGAGGGTTGAGCACATTATCAACAACGAGTTAGGGATGACAAGAGTTTCTGCAAGATGGGTGCTAAAGCTATTGACTGCTGATTAGGAACCTCCCGTGACAATCTGTGCCGTTTTAAGCAGGTCCTGATAATGTTTTGCCAGATTTGTAACCATGGATGAGGCCTGTTTCCCAAACTGAAAATGGAACTACCCGGTCGTCATTTTCCTAGTACTGATGACGTCATGTCAGCTGTGAGTGACTTTTTTAGGGTGACTGAAGAACATTCCTTCCAAGCCTTGCAACATGGTTGGCAAAATCATCGACTTTTTACAGGTCTTCCATGGATTGGATGGGCTTAGAACTTTTCAGCCAGATCTCGTATAACGACGTTATGGCCTACTCTTATTTTGAATACTAACAGTCAAGGATTCTTTTGCATGCAAACCAACGTGTACACGCGTAATAATGGGGCAATATCCTTTTACCATGATTGACCCTTTGATCTGGGTTATTTTAAGTATGCTATACAAAACGTCAATAAAGGTCAATAGGTCAACTAAGGCTAAACCTGTTCCACTTGAATTCTGACATCCTAATATACTACTTTACCATCTGAACGACTAAACCCTCCGTTCTGAACCGTCCAACTCCAGGATAGAAATTTGGATCTCCTGGTTAGCGAGCTAGCGTGTTAATCACTGGGCTATCGATGTTCCCACTTGTTTTGGCGAGTTTACATTTTTGTTGAGCTTTGAACGAAGACATGAAAACCATTCACTGGACATATATTTTACCTCGACAGTCGCTAGCGAACGAATGTTATGTTACAGACCCAGCTGGGTAACCGCTCTGCCATTTCCATTCTTTAAGCTAAAGCCGTACACTGACCATTTTACATTATCTACGAATTCCTCAATCAATAGCACGTAATTGTATAGCATTTAATGATTTTACCTTAAGAAATCGGAGAAAGCTTCCACTCCATATTTGGTGATGCAGTAAGGAAGAAACTTTATAGATAGACGTCCACCCATGCTGGCAGTATTTACTACCCTTCCTCTTTCCTTTCTCACCAGTGGTAAAAACGTTTTAGTGACGTCGATTACACCAAGTAGATTAACAGCAAGTGTATCTAGGTAGTCTTTTCTATTCAAACATTCTACAGGTCCAACAGCCCCAACTATACCAGCATTATTTACAACAGCCCATAGACCTATAAATATAGATATGTAAAACATTAAATATATACCCAAATGCCCCTATACCAGCATTATATACAACAGACCTATAAATACAAACCGATATGCAGTAGCGGATTATCATTGAGGCTGATGAGGCTGCAGCCTCAGGCCCAAAGATTTTGTAAAAAAAATTTTTTTAGACTTGTCTGATACGATTAAAAACGCATAGACAATGAATGTTAGGGGGTGGGGTTTAGGCCCAACGGGAATCAACATAGGCCCTGACCCGAAATTAATTAGGCCCACGCCATTTTAAATAGGCCCTATTTAAAAACTAAATAGGCCCTCCAGCAACTGCCGTCTCAGGCCTTGGTGGAGCTTAATCCGCCACTGCCGATATAGAACATTCTATAGAACCAATAGTGTCATCTATATCAGTATTATTTACAACAGACCATAGACCTCTGAATAGTCAGAAATAAAACATTCAATAAGTACGAAGTTGCATACACTATGAACACTTCCGTCATGTTTCGGGTTTTCATCGAGATTTTCCGGCGTGGTTTACCCTTGTCAGTGGTACAGAACGGCCTGCCAAGGGCAGGTGTCTAGTCGTTCGGATCGGATTCAAAACTGAGGTCCCGTGTACAACTTGGCAGTTGGAATCCGATATAAGAGTCCGTAGTGCCGCTCTCCGGACAAACTTTCCCTCATAGCAAACTGTATGACGTATGCACGTCTTCATTAACCCAGTATGAGCAGAACAGTTAAACCCCATTTCATTTCATACATTTCTGGTTAGAGAACGTAGAAAGTTACGTCATCAAACATGGCGCGGTGACGTTCTCGGGACTTTTTGATAGGTTTCGGGGTCCCCAATGTACCGTGGGCGTCATATATATAAAATCATTTCTATTAATCAAACACATCGTGTGTAGTGTATATTTATTTTATATAATCAAGGCCACCAAGTGAACTATAACTGTCTAATTATTCCACGTTTTTGTCTTGTAACATCGAATGCATCTGACAGCTTACCTTTGTTTGGGGGTAAAATTGATTTCACCTTGGTGAGTGCAGACTTGATATCATCTTCAGACGTAACATCTAATTGGAGTGTCTGAAGAAGTTCGGACGAAGTCTTCTTCAATTCAGCTGCAGCATCTTGTTTCAGACAGGCAGCAATAACATGAAATCCTAAACCATCTAATCTTTTCGCCAAGAGCTTTCCAAATCCTGTATCACATCCAGTAACTAAGACGTACTTTTCGCTATAATTCTCGACCTTTAACCTCTCTAAGAACCATTTTAAGGTCCAATAACCTATTAGTATTGTCATGATACATAGCCACATTTCGAATATGCTTAAAATAAATAAATTATGAAGGAAATTAGTTGACTCTTTTCCTTAAGGCCCGCTCCATCTCTCTTGTATTTACCTACTTGTTGACCCTATGCCAAACTAATCAGAGGATCCCAAATTTTATAGAAATGTTGGCATTGGCATGTTTCAGTATCCAATATATCTAAAAAAAAATGTACTGTAAATTTTATTGAAATGTCAACAAATACAACTGCACGAGAAAATTTATCCAATGAGTACCCCGATACCGTGGGTACTAGGCCAATAGCCTACTGTGCCTATTAGTAAATCCGACCATTAATAGGAAACTCTATAATGTATTTTTAAAGGAGCTAAACCTATAACTCAATATTATCCATAATATTCGAAATTAAAAACACGGATTAGAATTTAATTTTGGTTCATTTCGATCAGTGTTGATTTGTTTGATGTTTTGATTCTTATAATTCTTATAAATGTAGGATTCAATATTGACCATTGCTTGATTTAGATACCTGTAAGAATGCTGAAACGTCACATTTAATAAACTTAGAATTAATAAATTAAAAAAATCATGTTATTATAAATGTTATACCTCTAGTACTAATTATTGTGTACACTACACTGCTTTTATACCCATAGATGTCTACTTTAAGGTTCCAGGGGATATAGAACTATATGCCCTTTAAATAGTAAAATAAGTGAAATGTATTATTACAATAATTTTGGTGTCTAATTGTTTTTATAGTAAAATGAACGTGCTTTTCACTGATATGAAACAGCATATCTGGAATTTGGTATTAAGACACGTTTTTTTTACCTTGAATACCCCCCCCCCACCCAACTTCAATCGTCCTGTAAGGTAAGTAAATATGAATGTGCCAGAAAATTATTTACATATTTGAAAAGAGCAATGAACGTTATCGGGCGACCATCCTGCTAGATTAGCGTATTAATGGTGTCAAGAAATAATTTACGTCACCAACATTATTAAGTATCCCCAGTAGTAACATACCTGTTTTTCTCTTTACGTCACACTTCTAAGAGATGAAGTTCCAATCACAAGCAGACAAAATAGCCTAATATAAATCTAGTTGAGCACACAGGCTGGGATGAAATATGAAATAGACAGCAAGTGTAACTGGAGTACGATGGAATTTGTAGGCCAACATAAAGCCTTGACATTGGTAGCTGGCGCGGTACAAAAAGTTTAAAAATCGGCAGTGTGAAGTTGAATCGTTTTTCGTTATTCACCAATAAATATACAGTCTTTTATTTTAAAAAAAAAAACAAAAAAACAAACATCTCTGCCAAGCATCACTGGAGTTCTTAACACGCACGTTCTTTCTGAAACGGTGAGCAACCAGCCGTGTCTCAATATACGAGCGTTGACCTGAAAAGTTGATGAGTAAGTAATCGTAACATTGATGTGCATACTTGTCAGATTTCACCTTGTGAATCTTCAGACGTAACATTTAATTGAAGTTACCGGTACTGTGTTATTTTGGACGGGTGCAATGACTTTTTGTGTAATAATTTTAAATAGCTACACCTAGATTCACCCAATTTGTGGGTGTGTGTGGAGGGGGGGGGGGGGCGGGGTACGAGTCATGGTTCGCTCAATGCAGAAAATAAGAAAATCGATGCCGTACTGAACTTTTTCCAAACCATATCCCATCCAGTATAAGAGGGTGGAATAAAAGTAGTGCGCTTGTCAGTGCGATATGACATAGTGTAGTTACATTGTCTCAGTGTGTAACCCATCCTCGGTATCCCCAGTGCTACCGTTCCGTTCTACTTCCCTATCTACTGGGTCATTCACCGGTGAATAAAGGTATACAGAGGACGTTAAACTCCATTTCATTTCACCTCCTGCACTGAATTTAACGATTATTAGTCGCCGACAGCCTGATTTCGCAGCGAACACCATTCCGATATTTCATGCAGACGTGTCGTCGACGATTGTATATTGTGCACAAGAATTCTCCTTTATGGCTATGCTTGTGGCACGTACAGCGGACAAAATGTACAGCGGACAAAATAATCTGGGGAGCTGCATTACTAGAGACCACTGACGAGAAATTGTTGATAACAAATATTTCTTACTGTTCGTGGATAAAATATAGTTTAGAAAAAAAATGACTTCATCTGCATTATTATAACCATATAGGAAGCCGACATTCCCACAGAAAACAAGTTTGCTTCATTCCGTGAACCCGTGTTGAGATACCTGTTGTTCGCTTTACGTCACACTTCTTTAGTAATACGTAAGAAATGATGTCAAACACAAGCCGATGCGATATTTATAGATGAACAGATAAATACCCGTTTAACACCATGCCGTATACTGCACGCCAAACTGGTCTTTTTCTATTCCTTTATAGAAGCTATATAGATACAAAGTGTCATATTTAGAGGATAGGGATTATTTATAGGCCAATCAAAAGGCTTATAACAGTTATTTATCTTACTCCCTGCGTATGGAGTTGATATTTATGTAGCACAAAAAACAATTTGGTTTGTATTAGTTTTCTTATTGAGAGCTGACTACCAAACCCCTTGTAATTTTAACAAATATATGCATGATATAAAATAAAATGTCTAATCCGTTAGAAAAGCACGCGAATAGTGATTATTGATTTAAATTCATCTGGTATGCACTGTATTGTCGAAATAATGAGGGGTTTACCGTTTAACACACTGTAAAATCCCGAGAAACGTTCTCGGTCAACACCGCGATTGATTCCCAAACCTCGGAGTTAGTGGGTCAGAGCCTTAATTGCTCACTATACCACCGTGGCACTCACTATATTGCCTACATACAAAATCAGTATCCCCCTTTATAGAGTGTAGAAAGGGAGGGTTGTTGCCCTGGGCGCAAAATTCAAAATAAAATTTTAAAAAATAAAGCAGTAATAATAAAGAAAAAGGTGCATACGAAAATTGAATTCGGCAGAATGAGAATGTTAAAAATAGAATATGTGGCAGTTTTTTGGTTGCCATCACACTATCAAATGTGACTGGTCGATTGTTTCCCGAAGACAGGTTCCACTGAAGGCCAAGGCCCGGTCGGCAATGCGTGGCATATTATCCGGCAACATCAGTAGAACTGCACGCTACCAGCTTCCTGCTGTTGTGGGGACGTCCGTGGGGGTTCATCTGCACTGCTGAAAATGTTCGTCGTCGAGTACATTTCGTCGAATCGTCTATGTGCGGGTCATGCATACGGTACGTGTTTCCGAAACAACGTTGCACTTATCGAATGGCTAATCCTCTCACTTGATCTCTCAGCAATCGATAAATTTTGGATGTCGTCTCTGTCAGGGTCCGCAACTGCAAAATATCAAGACCCCACTAGCAGCTGTTCACGGGCTAATCCTAGCTGTTGTTGTGGTAAATTGTCATAAACTTGGTAATATAACAAAAATTATTATCCGCAACTATCTGAAGATTGGGCCTGTAAATTTACAATAGATAACACTATCAAGAAATTATTGTAGCTCACGTGTTGTTAAAGAAATATTATAAAATTATCCACGGTAGGCTGAGACCGGGGTTGGTTGTAACAATATTTAGTTTTTACATATTTATGAACCGTTTTTGTTGGATAATTTTAACTGCAGTACTTAAAGTAGGACTGTCAATATTGGCCTTTACAAATATATATCCAACTCACTCACATGTCCACTCATATCTGAGAGAGAAGGCAATAATCCAACCAATTTTGTTGTAACAACCTACCCCACTATTGGGGCAGGTTGTTACAGCGTCTGGGGCTGATTGTAACAAACGTAGAAGTGACACTGTTTCAGAAAAGGCAAATTTATTAAACATGAAATTACAGAAATGAAAAATATGTCACACAACATTTTTACTTCAAATCATATCTGAGATCCGACTCCTGTGCCAAGTAATGTTTCTGTGAAAAACGCGTGAATCAAGTAATTCATAAATGTAAATCCATGATAGGGGACAGAAAGGCCGACAAATCCATGACTATATTAAGTCAAAGGCAGAGTGTCAGTATACATGGTCAGAGTCATCAGGGTCACAATTCTGACACAGAAAAGGGTTTGCTTTTGGTGTGCAGTATTCGTCATGGGCTCATTTTTTACGGTCAATACGCTGTACCCATTCCTCTCCCGGCCTACTGTTGGAATATGGCTCGACGCACACCAAACAAAAATACTCTTCCTCTTCTGATGAATCAGTGTTACTATTTTTGCCTTTTTGGGTTACCTTTTTGTTGATTTGTTTTTGGGGGGCTCTGGTTTTGGACCATATGTTCTTCTTTCCCTTGGTCTTGGTCTTGTTTTTTTCTTCTTCCAGTGCCATCTTCTCCGGTGTATCAGTCAAGATTGCCGACTTTCGCCTTTTACGTTTGTTTGCAGTTGCCTTCCTCGGTGGAGCCTTGGGATATGGGCGAACGTCCTCTGGTGAAAAAGTTTTGTCTTGGTCATGCTGTTCATGAAGCTCGGCCACAGGTTCATCGCTGTTACAACTTACCCCAGTTAGAGTGTTACAATCTACCCCAAACCACTTGACTATAATATGCTAACGCCCGCCATTAGATCAGCGAAGGTCAGAGGACAAGAACGCTGAATGTAAACGTGAGGGAGATGGGTGTTGTTATGTACAGATATCTCACCGTGACTAACATCATGAATACGCTGAGTTTATTCGACGTTATTCAACGTTACGTAATAGTTATTAGAGACTTCTGGCAATCGGAATTTTTCCCATCCGTATCCGTGTCGTATACGTGATACGTTACGTCAATGTAGTTTTAGAGTTTTGGCAGATTTTCGCGTCGCGTAAGTATGCATAGCTGAGCTGATCTTAGTTCTATTACAGCATGATGGCAGATATCTACCAAGATCACCATCAGTACTAGTCAAGTACCTAGCTTACAATTTCCCGGAGGGGGTGAAGTCACTCGACAGTCGCTGAGCTATTCAAAAAAATTTAATGTTGAATCTTATTAAAAAATCTTCCACTTCAACTCGACAGCAATTTTTGATTTCACTAATGCATCATTTCAGAAAGTTTATACCCCTTTACCATAGAATTAAGTCATTTGCAAAGTTCCACCTCCCTGAATTTAGCATGTAGATCAACCAGCATGCAGACAGGAAAAGTATGACAATTCCGAGAAAAACCATCAAAAATAATGATTAAATTCCAGTCTTTATCATTGTTAAAATCACATCAAATATACACCTTCGTGTTCTGTGATACACATAGATTCATAAAAACGCTACAACGATACAATTCAGCGTCTACAAGTAGCACGAAAGACGGTAAAAAGACGAAGATGTTATACGGACCTTTTCCGTATAAAAGCTGTTCGATACGTGCTGCCGTATCCGTGTGTCGTATCACGTATGAGAAATACACACACATTGATGACGTCACACACAAAATCCATACGGATACGCGATACGGACCAGGAATTTACGCTTGCCAAAAGTCTCTATTAGCACACTTTCCTCGGTGTATCGGTGAATATCAGGACAGTTTTGGTCGAGGGGCCCATAAGTTACTTACATCACATTTCTATCGAGTATTGTGAAGCAAAATGTGAAAAATAGTATTTATTATCGAGTCGTTTCATTTATCCCTTTCTGAGCCTCACGTTACATTTCATGGTAGAATGATTTCGCAGTGGAGAGACGACCTGAGTAGTATTTACACGTGCGTCTTGCTATGATACTCTGAGCGTAAAACAATCACGTGTTTGTTTAGACCACATCGTCAAAACAACTTGTCTATGGCGTAGAGAAATGAAATGAAATGAAATGGGGTTTAACGTCCTACTGTTTTGCTCCGAACTGGGCTAATGAGCACTGCAATATTATTTAAATGTAGTGTAAAGGAAATGCGAAACGTGGGTCATTCCTGGTGAAAGTATGCATCGGCGAATGGTTCTTCCGTTGAAATTTATTTGTAATAAAGTTTATGACTTTCTAGGCGGTTTTTTTTTTATCCTGCTTATTTTCAATGCCTGTGAAGTGTCCAGCAAGAGAACTGTGCCTTCTATCATCACAATTAATTAAAATAATTATTCAATATTCTAATTTATATATTTTGCATATTAATATAAATCAAACGAAATTATGAAATAGATGCCAATTGATATGTATAATAATTGATTTTTGTAATATGTTGTTATGTTAATTTAATGTCATTGTATATGTTTCTGAACTGCCATGTGGGGATCACGTGGCTAAGTGGGTAAGACGCTAGCTCGCTAGCCTGGAGGTCGGGTGTTCGATCCCTGCATTGGCCGAGAAAGTTCATCCAGATTTTCCGGCGTGGTTCTCCCTTGTCAGTGATGCAGGACGGAGGGGCTGACAAGGAAAGCTGTCTAGTCGTTCGGATGGGACGAAAAACCGAGGTCCCGTGTACACATTGGCGTGCACGTAAAAGATCCCTTGGCAGTTGGAATTCGATATAAGAGTAGGCCGTAGCGCCGCTGCCCGGGCAAAATTTCCCTCATAGCACACTGTATGGCGTATGCCCGTCTTCATTAGCCCAGGTTAGGAGCAGAAAAGTAGGACGTTAATTGTTTCATGTACATTATCCTTGTGCATTGTATAGAGCCATCGTTATCAATTGCGATCTGAGTCGAACTAAACGACCGCTACTTATTGCTTGATAGGTATCTAAAACAGTACAAAAGTATCCGTGTATCAGAAATGAACAGTACTCTCTCTGTATATTTCTGATACACGGATTCTTTTAAGCATGTATTGAAAATAAACAGGACAGTTTTATCAAAGGTTGCCAGTGGCAAGGAGTAGAAGTGGGGTGTAATAAATTTTACTCACCTGGGCTTAAAATATGTGTGTCCTTGTTGGAAACGGACCGTCAGGCGTGACGTCTTTGACGTTATCAAGGAGAAAGATACCAGACCATCTTGTGTGTGATCCTACCCATTGACCAGCCAGACCCCGTAAATCTCTTATCTATACACCTCGAGATCTTGCCACATTGCCAATCGCCTTTCCTATCTCACGCTCACGATTTTTTTCCGCAGTCTCTCATTACAACATTTTGATCTGTAAATAATATTGATGTTTCGTAGTAGCCTAAAACTTTGACTTTGTTCTTCGGGGTGTCACGATCAGATGATGGTTTCCGGAATGGGAACCACTGCAGTAGAGCTTGTATGGGGTACACCTAGTCATGGAAGGCTAGGTTGGTCGATTGCATCAGACAGTTCAGGTTATTTATCCACATACTAAATAGGAGGAGGGTAGGGTCAATATCGTTTTCAAATTCACCCCTTTCCATCTTTGACCTGCAGGTTGCTATTGGAAAACATTCTTAACAGGTAAACATAAATGTTCTTTTTTATAGGCCTACGTATTATGTCGTCGCCCCTGTCCGTCCATTCGCATTTGTTTGTGAACACTCTATAGGCTATGGGTCACAATTTCTATGTTTATACCCTAAATTCATGGGCTATTATCCCTGTACGAAGAAATGCGATTTAGCTTGTTAACAATTTTTATCCGATATTAATAGTCCGGGAGATTAGTCCCTACTTTGAGATTTAAAATGTGGGCGTATTTAAACAAATAGGCCTATTTTTTTTATTTAAAAAAAAAATATATTTACTTTGACGTACCTGTAATCAAAAAGAGATGCCATTGGGCTACCGACAGACTATTGTTAGTGGGCTACCCGGATTTAGTGATTTGTTAACAATAAAACTTAAAGGGGAATTATGTAAGATTAGATAACCCTAAAGAGCTGACAGTTCTCGCTATAATAGTTATAGGCCTAAAATAGATAAAGTCTAGTTATACCGGTAAGGGCCTTTAGCCGTTACAAATAGGTTGTACGTGACAAGGAGTAGGTTTTCTGTCCAATCTCGTGGGTTTTCTCCGGGTCCTCCGGTTTTCTCCCACTGCTAAAGACCCCTACGCGCAAGCGAATTACTGAAATAAAAAATAAACCATATTATTATGTTAGTCCCGACTAGTTTGTGTCGAGTGGATGTTAAACCCTCTCTCTCTCTCCCCCTCTCTCTCTCTCTCTTGATTATCCATGCGTTAAATCATTAATCACAAAATGTATTTATAAAATCTGTTGAAAATTTAGAGTAGGCCTATCCGATTGAATCGAGAGTGTCTGAGTGTAGGCTAGTCTACTATTTCTATTAATTGTTGTCTAATGTCTTGGTAAGTTTATTAATGTTTAATTAAAAATTTATATGACAACATTTAATTTTACAAGGCATAAAGAAAGACCTACAATTTTCAGATTTAGCTCTTGCATAATGCAAACTTTTTCTGTGAAGTGTAAGGATATATTTATTGCCTTCGGCCCTTTTCTTCTTTTATTTTTTTTTTATCAAGAAATGGGAGTTCTTGCTAAAGGGAGACAACTACTATATGTAACGCCATCTTAAAATTTAGAACACTTTACTATTAAGAATTATGATGTTTGGTTTGCCAATAGAGCCTACAATGTTTTATCGTGGACCTTATATTTTCAAGCCAATGCAATTTATCATTTACAACTATATTAATGAAGGTGTCGGCTTTAAATTACTGTCTGTCACAGTTAGCCTACTTTCCGCGACTTGCCCTCAAGAAGGCTCGTCTGCTGGTGGCAATTTACAATTTAGCATAATCCGCGACAAAACATAATGCGAGATCTGTGTTGGTATCAGGGTGTCTTAAGTTCGTCTTAACCATCAACGGGTTATTTTGGGTTATTCAGTAAATATTCTTATGAGATTTTATTCCAATTTTTGTTTGAAATAATGTTTAATATGCATAATTATTTCAGACGACATTTCTTCGCAAATGCACTGGCGTCACCACCAACTTCAATGACGTCATTTGTGTATCAACAGCCAATGAAATGACGAGAAACGTCACCATGGCGCAATGATACTGTGCATGCCCCCGGGTGAAGCGGCCTTGTTGTTCAAAGCTGTGACGCTGATCGTGTATTTTGACGTGGCCACTACGTATTCTGCAAATTTATCCACTCCGATTGCGGCAAAGTTGGTGACGAAAAGTACGTAACCGGTAAGTACTCCTTTGACGAACCACAACAATAAAGCATGGTCTTCAGCATGAAAGTAATTTTTAAGGTATTTACTGAAAATTTATCTTGAATCATAAAGAGGACATATTTATGAACGCATTTTTTTTCGCCGCTGACAACAGCGATTTACATCACTTTGATTCACATTCTTGTGTTGTGAACTTCGGTCTATCGTTTCCCTATTTTTTTTCGGGAAATTCGTTAATCAACAAACTTGTTTTCGTTGTGTTTCCCAATAATTCAGGAGTTATGGATTATCAGTACAAGGGCCAGTTGACTAGATCAAGTTGGAAAATTATCATTAACTGTCTGCCGTGGAGAGTTCGGCCCGAGGTCAGTCAGTGAACTACTTTTATTCACGGAAAGCGTGTTATTATAAACCTCTTAAGTTTAAGTCTGGCTACAACAACTTGAATAAGTTATATTCTATATTACTTATACCCTCGACTAGGCATTAGACTGATTAGTAGACCATTCTATTTGATATGTTTTGGTAAATTGTTTAATCCGGTTTGTTTTCAATTTTAGGAATGAATTAGCCTAGTTAGGATGTTATTCAATATTGTTATTCAGTTATTGTTTTTTTGGGGATTAAATTTGACAGTGGGGATTGCCCACACAACTTCCTCAGTCAGACTCAGAGACAGTGCTTTGTCAGTAACTTTGTCACTATGCACAGTGCTTACTGTACCTTGTTTGTTATGACAAGGAATAAAGAGTAGGGCCTACATGTACAAGACTACACGAGAAAATTCCTGTAAAGAAGAGTATCATTCATTCATGTTCGATTTTCAATACTGGTAGTTCAAGTTGCTAATTGCACCAGGTTGCTAATGTAAACTGTGGGTTCATCTTGGCGCATCGGAAATCTCAGTTCTGCAGATTATTGCCAAAATTATTTGTATTTGATAATTCCTTTTCGTGGAAGAGAGAAAGTTTGCACGAAAAATCAATATAGTATTGGTATCAATAATTGACGTGTTGCGGTGCAGTTTGGATTTTAGTTGTTATTTTAATATATAATTTTATTAACTTTTTTTTCAGGGATGTCCGAGGGTGTAGTAACCCATGGGGAAGTAGAAAACGGATCCCAGGGAATACAGGTGGTACATGTTTCAATCCCAAATCAACCAGTTCAAGTCCAATCTGTTATCCAGTCAAATCAACAATCAGTTATTCATTCAGCAACAAATGCAGGGGTTCCAACCATTCAAGTAGTTAGGGTGAGTTTCAAGTGCATGTTTTTTTTTTCTTTTAGAGATAAGACTTTGTGATAGGGTGACACCACTCGGCAGATTCCGGTACTCTACATCTAACCTCGGTTGTATGATAGTAAGTGATATGTACCTACACCCATACATTTGCGATGCGGCTACAGGTTTACTTTAACAGGAAAACGTGCCGCTTTTACAAAAAAGTCCCAACATGGCGTCTTTTGTCGAGTATATAACTAAACGAGCAGAGATATTGTCTCAAGGCTGCTGGTTTGATATAATTCCCTGGTAATTCCCCAAACCCAATGCCAAACTTGACGTTTGTTGATATAATACACTCTCCACATAAATCTCCATGGGCGCAGCCATTTTTCATCCGGGACCTTTAAAATAGTTTCAATATGGCGGAATTCGTCATACAGCCGAGATTAGATGCCTAGAATCTGTCGAGGTTTGCTGAATGAGGGTGACACGTGCAGTGAAAATTTTCCCTACACAAAGTTGGACTCAACACTGCGAATGTGCACACTTCAGTGGCTTGTCTCGAAGTGATTTCTGGCTAACCACGCAGTATGATAATAATCAGCGCAAGAGTCTATGAGACTATAAACAGCCATCACATGTGCAATTCTTTACACATCAATAAACTATTAGTCGTAAAATATCTATTGTTGACGATTCTGAATAGTAGTCATATTTAGCTTTTCATGGTTGTTACAGCAGCTTTAGAAATTATGTTCGTTTTATTTTTTTAATGACTTATCATTAACTGTACTTTAGGAGCGTCATCTTTTGGTTTAGTACAAATAATATATCTGAAACACTCACTACAGGTTAGGCAAGAACATGATACTAGCAGTGGTTTCATTTTACTTTTACAAGGTTCTTAAAACATTTGTTGAGTTTCCTAACGTGCATGTTTCTAAATGTTCAATTTCTTGTTCCAGCTTTCTGTTATGTTTCTTAAAAAAAGTAGTCTTGATTTTCCCCTATGTCAATCCAACATAGAATGGTCGGTAGACTGGTTAAGCGAGACTAATTTCAAAACAAGGGCACATAACCTATTTTTTACTCACAAGTGCCCAGATGTTATGGCCGACACTCGTAACCATCTTTCAGTGTAATATTTATTGATGGTTAAATGGTCATAGCTTATTAAGTACAACATGACCATTTATTTAGTGACTATAAATGTGCGAAACTGATTAAGGCTTGGTGTATAGATAAATATTGTGGTGTAATTGTCACTATATTTGTAGATATTTATTTATGGTGGGTCACCCTACTTGTGAAAGTATCTTGTGATATGTATCCAAGGCTATTTGATTTAAATGCGAAACATTATCAGGTGCAAGATCTGGATCATCCATTTCAAAGTACATGTAGCAGGAAACTAATACTTAATTCTGTAGTTAATAAGTCATTATTTATGTTATCCAGAACATAAATCAATGTTGATCATTTTGCAGTCTACTGCGCGGTTATTAACAATAGACTTTCCATTAAATATTTTATTATAATTTTTAGGTTGCTGCTGTTGATGAAGATGTTTCTTCAGATGATTCTGAAGCTCGAAGAAGAAGAGAAATTTTAGCAAGACGACCATCATACAGGTTTGTAGTCAACTTCATACACTATGTCAGTTAGCCTATTTGAGTTTCCTCAGGCTTGGGGGGAGTCACGGTGTGTCAGTGAGTAAGAAGCTTGTTCATTAAGCAGGAGTTTAGGGTTTGTTTCCATTATTGACCTGGAAAGATCCTTGTGTTTTCCAGCATCGTTTGACGTTTCCCCTTGTCAGTGGTGCAGGACAGAGGGTCATACAAGGAACAGCATCTAGTCAGTTGGATTGGGCAAAAAACTTGTGGTCCTGTGTACACTTTGGCATGCACGTAAAAGCATCCAACACAGTTGGAACTCAATTTCCCTCTGACGCACACTGAATGGCATATGTCCATCTTCATTAACCCTGTTGGTGCAGAAAAGTAGGACATTACACTCCATTTCATTTATCATAGAGTCAGGGCTCCAAAGTCTTATTTGATTCACATTACTGCTAATAAAAAGAAGCAACCCGCGCGAAGACATGTTCGTTTCGAAAGTAAAACAAAGTTTTGGCCATTTATTTTATAGTTTATAATCAAAGCTTCTCAATAATTTCTGTATTTCAAGAACTAAATCTGCCTATTGCAGGTCTTTCTTTAGGCCTGAAATGTTTTATTAATTAACTTATCTAGGCCATAATCAACTCTCGATGGCATCAGATTTCTCCGATATTAAATAGATTACAACAGTTGAGCCATATTTTGATTTAAGCTAATAATGGAAGAGCGAGACTTAGCTTCAAACAACCAGTACAGTGGTTGAAATTATTGCACAGGTCTTGTCAAACCTTCAAAGGCTAATATCTTCGCTCGCAACAGAGTAATTTGAATGAAATTTTCAAATTATTCGTTTTACTTTTACATTATCTATTTTCGAACTATTATAGGAAGAATGGCTAGCTCTTTTTCTAAATCTTACATAATATATCTTTAACTGATTGGGGAGGTACATGTATCTGATTTGTCGATACCGGCACTCTTTTTAAATACATGACCATTCACCTTGGTATTAATGCTATTCAGTAAGTTAGCGTGACCCCTGCATAGGGCTTGGGATAACGCTGGTATCCTGCCTACACCTTGAATATATGTTACTATAGGACCCAGTTTACATCTTATAGTTATACTTTATTGATTTCAATTGTAGAAAAATTCTAAATGACTTATCCTCTCCCGTTACTAAGATGGATGAGGAGTCCAACAGTAGTCAAAGTCAAGATGGTGAAGTTATAGATGCTGCACAAAATTTAACTAGCGTTGGAAACGCAGTCCACTATCAACAAGCTACAGGTAAATTGTTATGGTTAAGCTCGGGCAGAAATTCTCCCATCGGTACTTACATGTACACAACAATTATTGTCAAATTGCCATTTAGTTTTAACTCAAGAATATCTAATGAGGTTGTAAATGAAATAAGGTTTTACTGATGAAGACAAGTTTTGTTGTTGTTATGGATTTAAACCACTGAGCTGGTGGACTTCAGCCCCTAGATTATCCCTATCAAGGCAAATTTGGCATCTAAAATTCAGGTTTGCCGCTAAAAGCAGCATACAGTGTAAGACATTTTACTTTCTAGAATCCCTGATACCGCTTCTAATTTGAGGATTTCACATAGCTAACATACCTTTGTTTTATTTCTGTTTTTAAATTTCGATTGGGTTAATAATTTTTTTTATTTTTAGTAGTGCCTGCAGGAACCATTTTAGCACACGCTGATGGAACAGCAGTTTCACAAGGATTACAGACCTTAACAATGACTAATACAAGTCCTTCCTCTGGTAATACGGCACAAGGAACTACGATAGTCCAGTATGCCCAGGGTCCTGACGGCCAATTCTATATTCCAGGTATGTATTGCATGAAATTAGTTACAGAGATTTGGATATAATATATCTTTGAGAGTGAGGGCTGCCAATGCACAAAGCATTTTCTACACCTGTTTTTTTTTTGTAAATTCAACAGTTTGCCAGTGACTTGAGTTTCAATTAAGTTTTAAAGTATGCTGACACTATGTCATACATTACCTACATGTAGTCCTATCTTTGAAGTTTGCTTCATGTAGGCTACAATTTGTACAGTAACAATGCAGTTTCCTATATGGCTGGTTGATTTATTACAGGCTAATAAACATTTTCATTGTGGATAAAAGAATCATAATTTCTGATAAATTATCATAATGGACCATATCTTTAATTTAATCAATTATAAAGTACATGTATACTATTTTTGGATTATTGGTGCTTTTTTCAATTCCATTGGTTTATTAACAAGTTTGATATTTTATTTATTATTTTTGTAAGTTTCAGTTGGGGGAACAAACATGCAGGCATATCAGATAGCTACTACCGCCGCCATTCCACAAGGTGTTGTCATGGCATCGGCCGGAAGTCCTCTTTCTAGTGGGGGAACGGTGTCAGAAGAGGCTTCACGAAAGCGAGAATTACGTTTATTAAAAAACAGGTACATTTCCTTTGTAATCATACATGTATGCCTATTTGTATATATAATTTTTTTTTGGATCTTTTAAATGCAAAAACTGAAACCCAACAACTAGATTGTTACCTTGATCAGCAGGTAAACCCCTTCCAGGGTTGTATATATATATCCACTACTGAAGCTGATGCACATTCTCCCAGAAAATATGAAATTGATGCACATTCTCACTAGCCATATGAAATTGCGTGCACATTCTCACTAGCCATATGAAATTGGTGCTAATTATCACAAACATTTTGAAATTGGTGCACATTCTCACAGGACATATGAAATTGATGCACGTTCTCACAGGACATATGAAATTGATTCACATTCTCACAGGGCATACAGTTGTATGAACAGAAATACAGTGAAATATATTCAATGAAAACATTTTTATTTTATTTTCTGCTTTCAGAGAGGCTGCTAGAGAATGTCGTATAAAGAAGAAGGAATATGTGAAATGTTTGGAAAATCGTGTAGCCGTTTTAGAAAATCAGAATAAAACTTTAATAGAAGAGCTCAAAGCTCTAAAAGAACTTTACTGTCAGAAAGAATAATCGAGAAACATCATTCTTAAAGGCATATTTTATTTTACAGAGAAAAGAGAGATATAAATATTTTGAATATATTATATTAATTAAATATATGAGGCGTGAGACTGACATTCGTGTGGAGACTGTGTGATTGTGTTAGATGTAGTCAGACATCTGGATTTTAAGATAAGTGGAACTTCAAGGATTATTAAGAGGATAATGACAGAATTGTGGTTGGCTTTTGTTTTAAACAAACGTGGGTTGAGAATTGAAATTTTAGTAACCTTTGCAACATCGGTCAAATTCAAAATCCATGGATCAGATACTAAGAAATATTGATGACCGACAGCTGTGGACTGTGTACATTTTTAACATCTGGGTTTGTTCTTGAAAGGCGTTAAACAAAATCTGAATTTGTTTCAACGCTGTTGGTTGATTACAGATTTATTGTCATTTTGTTATGGAAATCGTATTGAATTTTGTAAAAAAAAATAGTTTCACCAAACATATTTAATTTTATGTCATTAGCAATGACGTACAGATAATTTCATCTGTAAACACATGTATTTTAAGATTATCATCATTCCTTCCTTTTTCGGTGTCATCTTAACCACATTGTAAATATTTATCATTACTCAGGATCTGATATTAAACTTCATATTTCATGGATTATTTCACAACCACTGTGCTAGATACACTTGTAAATGTACTATCAATGAAATACAGTAGGTAAGATTTGGAGTTGACCAAATTTATTTCAAAAAACAGTGTGTGTACCTAAATCTGGGACTATATTTTATCTTGTTTTTCTACGTCATCCGTGGTTAATATTTTCCACAATAGATATACATGTATCACTAAATATTTCATCTACCAGCAATTATTAAATTTATGAAAAAAATTTGCGAAGAGTTCTACAAATTGTGGAGTTTTGGATTTCTTTACTGCATGTTCATGTTCATGCATGTGGTCTTGTAACTCAATTTAGTGGAATCTTCTACCAACATTTGAATTACTGAGCTTGTGATTTCTTAACTTCATCTTGATGTACATGTAGATACAAAGATAACATGAAAAAGAAAATTCAATTTAGTTTATCAAAAATCAAGCATGTTATTTTGTGCTGATGCTGAGTTTATGTACAAAAGAATCTTCGTTTCATCACTTTTTAAAGAATGGATTTCATCAAGAAATGTATTGATACACAGTGCTAATAATTAAATGGCTATTATTCTTTCTTTTCTTTCATTGATTTTTGCAAGCTTATACTTATTTATTGAAAAAGATTAAAATTTACAAAACTTTAAGATGACATTTACTTGTGTTGAGAATTTTTCTGATGATGCTTTCAGTAATTTATTTTATTTTGACTTTTCTTTGTGAATGGCATAACATATATCTTCAACTATTTGGTCTCTACTGTTTCATTGGTGCATAAATAAACTACCGTATTAAATGTAATAATCGCTATAGCAGAAAATATGGATGCCAATCGTACCAGAATAAAAACAAATACTAATGCGGCTGATTGTCATTTGAGGGATTTTGAATCTCTTACAAACTACAATATTGTGAAAGTTGAATCTCTAAAAGGATTATCAGTCTAACCAAGGTTCTGTTCTGTTCATCTGTTCGGTATTTACTGACACATGTATGATGAATTAAAAACTTAACATTATTTGGTATCCTCCGCAGAGGATATATAAAAGTCAGTGAAGTGTTGGATGAATTTTGTGATCTGCCTTTCATATGCCCACATGGAGATGTGGTCGTATATTGCTGTCGCCACCGTACATACAAATACATCTGTTGTCCACAATTTCTTGTGAACACTCTACAGACTACATTTATCATCTGATTGTTTTGAAATTGATATATGTTGTTTACATCAGTGAGATGAAGAATCCTATTTAATTTTCTATAATTTCTTCTATGACCTTTGTTGAACATTATTAACGCTCTAATGATCTGTGTGAATTTTCTATGCATCATATTAATTAGTGAAACGAAGAATCCTATTGAATTTCAGCATTTTCCAATAATTATTTCTAGAATTATCTCCCTTGTTTAACTCAAACCTTGTGAATCCTCGAATGACAAAAGCTATCATCCGACCTGTATGAAATTTAAATTAGTGAAACAAAGAAGCACGCATCATTTAAATTGGTGAAACAAAGAAGTCTATTGAATTTCAACAATTACCGTCAATTACTTAGAGTTATGGCCCTGGCTTTACATTGTTGAACCTTGTGAACGTTCGAATGGCAGAAGTTATCATCCGATATTTGAGCTATGCGGTTATTAGGTCAAATATGGTAGGTTAATTTAATATGTACATGTAGTGGTATTTTGTAATCTATGATGTATATATATTTTGCTTTTATTTATAAATAGGTTGGACTGTCTCTGTTCATTGAATTTAATAAGAGAAAAAATTTAAATTGCAGATCAGTGATTTTAAGAGGATATGTTTATTTGAGCATGCAGTAAGATACATGTAAATGCAGATGTAAGAAATGTATGTTATTGGTTTGAAAAGGGGAATAACTTTCTTTTATAAATCCCATGTTGGACTCGTCATTGAACGGTATTATAGAACAAATGTACAATACAGATAAAAGAATTAACCTATTATGTACATGTATGGCCAAAACCAATTGATTTCTTATTCAATTCAATGTGGTCTAAGTACATGTACAAAGCATGAATTTAGAGACATAAATTTCCTGCATTGTTTTCTTATCATCCATTCTTTTGTTTTCCATTTTAATTTGTTCATAGTATTTGTTTTGTTGACTCGTTGTTTAAGAATTTTTCATAAGTTCACATGTTTGTTCGTGTATGTAACGTACACAACTGAACCGTAACATGTAACAGTTAGTCCATTTGTTCATATTTGATTATTTATTATAGACTAAGCTATCCACTGTAAATGTACATTATAGACAGACCTGTAATTGGGGAGTCGAAAGTAAGGAAGTCAGTGTAGAACAGGTTCTCTAAAATGTAGCTTGAAAAAGTCAAAAGTAAGAAAGTCAGTTTAGAATAGATACCTTAATGTAGCTTGAAAAAGTGTTAGACATTAATTTGAATACGTTTTTGCTTACCTGGTAAAAGACTAAATGCTGTCATACATGTACATGTACTGATCATCAATTGATTGTGACATCTGTTAACCAAAGGTAGTACTGACTGGTTAATTGTAAGGTATATTAGGCTATGAATTAATGAATTAAATATCTTCTGTCATAATTTTGATAATGTTTTATTAGAATGTGTAAATGTAGTTCAGTTGAATGTGCCTTACTCATAGTTGTTTGTAATAAATTTTGACTTGTGGAAGACTAATTACTACATGTGCATGTAGATATTCATACCAACATCTTGGCTAATTGGAGGTCTACATTTGATTCTATACAACCCTTTCAAACACTGAAAATTTTATGAATTCACCTCTGTGTATACATCATCCTTAAAATTATTCTAAGATACAATGTCCGTCAGTCAATTTAAACATATATTCTAGCTGTAAGAAGGTTTGTAATAAGTCATGTTACATAATAGAATTATGTCCCTTGGTTCAGTTTCCTCTGTGAGTATTGCCATTTGGGATAGCAAATCACAGATACTGATCAGTTACTGAAAAAAATATTAGATGTCCGGTAGCAGCTACTCGTTCTGGATTTGAAACATTAAAGCACTATAGACTGATACTAAAGGTTTGCCCTGTGTATTAATGTACGGTATTATTTTAAAGTCATTTCATGTTGATATCTTACAGTGCTGTTGGTTTAAGTTGTATTATACCATGTATTGTAATTATAAACATTGTTTGTTAGTAAAAATCACAAACTCTAGCCTGTATTTTTTGTTTTTCATTTACAATTCTTTCACTTTCATTTCAACAAGATAACTCATAAAATTTTTAATTGGCATTAATCAATATAGTGACAGAACACAGTTCTATGGATAACAATCACTAAATTTTATACACAGGACGTTACAAGATTTCACTAGTTGTTATCAAGCATACAATTAGATGTTATCCATAAATATTATATTATGTTCAATCACTAAAAATAAATGCCATTCAAAAATTATATTAATCAATATTTTGAGATTTTTTTACTTTGGTGTATGTCCAATATGGATGTTTGTTAGTGCCGAATATAATTTATTAGGTCTTCTACATAACAACAGCATTGTTTAAGTAATGAACTAACTAATTGGCAGGGGGTCAGAGGAACCAAAGGAGTGTGAAAAGGGGTAGGGTTGCCTGCCTGAACATTGTGGGTTATCTTTGGGTTCCTCCCTTTGATTTTAAATGGAATGGTCCATACTAACAAAAAATAGATAATAATGACAGAAACAAGAATCAACTTTTAGAAAAATTCTAGCTGTCTCTTTTCAAAGCTACTGTTAATTAATGAATGCATTAATGGCTGATCTGTACTATTAGATCTTTCAATTTGGTTATCCCAAAGCTGAAAAATGAAAGATGTTTTAGTGGAACTGAGGGTTTTTCTATTTTTTCTCATTTATGGAGCCACCAATGACATCACAACCTAATTTGTTTAAGACACCTAAATAAAGCCAATCCTCTCTGATGTGGGTCAAAATCAATTGTTGTACTCTGGTGATCTATTGTTTTAATTCAATTACCGGTAGTAATTAGTCAAGCTCTGTTAGGTTATGAAAATTTCACTTGAGTTAGCAAAAGTTTGTCCACAAATTTTAGTTTCATTTTTGTCTTAAAGATACAAGCCAGATTGTTCGAATATATTCCATAACTCTAAACTATCTCAATGTGTATAGATGGTTGTTATGTAATTAAGGATATCAAAGTATAAAAATAGCTTTGTGTAGAATGAGCTGGCTTTTTATTGTTATATTTTTGGATTTTTTAGGGTTTTCAGGAAAGTAGGATGTTAAAAACCCCATTTCATTTTGTGGAGGATCTTCAACTCAACTCTATATTACAACTTTATTCTGGTGTGTTGGAGCTTTTAAGCTGTCAACTGTTGAACACAAAATTGATTATATCTCAACATTGGCTTTATTACAAGTAATTTATTAAAGATATACAGTAGCAAATTTTGACTTTCTGGCCATTTCTGGATATTTTATCGAAAAGCATATTGTTTAAAAAAATATTTGGAAGTTATGTCCATCGAAAGTTCGTGTTACAAGCAGTGATTTCATAACTTCATATTTCTGTCTTAGAATGTCACTCAGAAACTAAAGAATATCTCATTTCTATCCATGAAAATCAGTGTAAAGAACGTTTTTAGCCCTTTGTGTTAAATTTAAAAACTTTGTAGGAAGAATGACTGTTAACTATCTGACTCATTGAGCATTGAATGAAAGATGTTACTTTGATTCAAAATGAAATGCATAAAAATCAAAACAAATCATTGTAAATCAAATCAAACTGGCACTTTTGATTTTGATCCATATCAAAAAGATCTTGTCCACTAAATTGAGTTGTACTGAAGAGTAATTTCAGTGGATTATAATTCAATTGTTAATTTTTTAGCTATAAAATTAGTTGATCATTCCAGTCTATATGGTCTCCCCTTTGACTACAACGAATCATGGACCTTATAAATATAATATGAATGAATAGCAGCCATTGGACATTTAGGGATTCATTTACTTGATTTAAATAGTATTTACATTATTTATGACTTACAATAACTGTTTATGAGTGGCATGTGCCTTATCCTAGGATTTGTCCTCTCGCAACCAATCGTAAGACACATAGGAATCTCAGTACTAACCTTTGACGCTATTACAAATTTAGCGCTATTTTGTCTAGACTATTAATCTTTTGTTTATTGCTTACAATGTTTGTGTGTTATTTTATCCACACACAGATTCTCAGTAAGATGTAAGAGATTCTCAGTATGACCAATGACACTGTAGACAAATTTGCCCAAGCTAAATTTGTTGTAGTCAGAGACAACATGGACTGGAGTGATCAAGACTAAAAAAATGTATGAGAGTTTTCATTAATTTAATTATAAGATTTTTGTTTTTGTTATTTTAATGTCTGTAGATATAGAGTTTACAGAATCCTAGCTTTGTTATTAAATTTGCATAAAGAGAGCATTTATTGTAAGAAATCTTATGTGTAAATATAAAAATTAACTATATCCCAAATTAGATCTTCTTTTTGATTACAAAAGTGCCATATATATATATACATGTATAGTAGAAAAGTTAATTAAAGCTGCTCTTTGGTAATATATAATTGAAATTAAAGATGGCAAAATAAAACTACATTTTCATGCTAACCTTTTCACCGCGATAGCGGCTCTTCAGGCATTTATTAAACAATGCCTGAAGAGCCGCTATCACGGTGAAAAGGTTAGCATGAAAATGTAGTTTTATTTTGCCATCTTTAATTTCAATTATACATGTATATATATATTTCTGTGGTCGTCCATCTTATGTTTTGGCTAAAGTGGGTAAGACGCTAGCTCGCTAGCCTGGAGGCAGGTTGTTTGATCCCTGCATTGGCTGAGAAAGTTCATCTAGATTTTCCGACATGGCCTCTTGTCAGTGATACAGGATGGAGGGCCTGATAAGGACAGCTGTTTAGTCATTTGGATGGGACAAAAAAACGAGGTCCCACATACACATTAGCATGCACAGAATTTCATTTCATTGCGTTATGTGGTTTCAGTGCATGTTTCAACTCTATTGGAAGATTCAGATCTTTATTACTTCATGTAATGAAATGGGGTTCAACAACCTACTGTTTTGCACGGACTGGGCTAATGAAGACTGGCATATGTAAGAAGTTGGAAATAAAATGAAATGGGGGTTTAATATCCTTCTTTTCTGCTTTAACTGAGCTAACAAAGACAGGCATACAACATACCGTGTGCTATGAATGAAATTTCGATCAGACAGCCGCACTACAGCCTACTCTTTTTCGAACTCCAACTGTCAAGGGTTCTTTCACATGTACACAGAATCTCAGTTTTCTTCCGAACGTTATACAGTTTCCCTTGCCAGGCCCTCTGTCCTGCACTACTGACAAGGGGGAACCATGGTGGAAGACCAATACAAAGATCAAATACTAGACCTCCAGGTTAGCAAGTCAATGTCTTACTCACCGAGTCTCCACAGCTCCCTAATTACTTCATAATCATATTGCTAAACCAATGTCAAACACATATACCATGGCTCAGATATGCTATAAATTGACTCAAGCATGTTCCACCCGAATAATGTCAAAAAAGCACAACATTTAGTTTGTAAGTAGGCTTTCATTAACTAACACACAGACTCTCCTGCCAATTAGCAGTCAAAACAAAGATATTGTCTCTTGAATGCAAGCTTTCAATTGAGGGACACGCATATTAAATTACTTTAACCTCCACTATGTTATTTTGGGACTGACATATGGTAAATTTTATTTAAATAATTAACTAGAGACCCTTGACTTAATAGCAGACCTTATGACCTAACGCACATGCTTTCCCAAGTTCCATCATGAGCATTTTGTGCTTAGGAGAAGCATAAATAAGCAGTCTGGTTGCTCCACGCTTACAAAAAGATAAATGTGCAATTTATTAATATGCGTCATCTATTTATTTGGAGATGGAGTTGGGGGACATCAGCCTCACTGTTGGGGTGTTAAATTTAACTAAGGACAATGATTGTTGGCCGTCTAGCTTTAATTAGTAATAACAAGCAGTTGATGTGCAAGAGATGGACAGAGAACAGGCTAAAAATCTAGGAAGTTACAGTCCAATACGTGCAAGTATCAAATGGAACCCAGATCTTTGGGATATAAACATATATTTTAAGTTTCATCAAAATGGGATAAAAATTGTGACCTCAAGAGGTTTAACAAGCTAAAAACGTGATTTTTCGTACAATCAGGGATCATAATACAGGAAGTTACGATTTGATATGTGCGGACATCGAAAGAAACCGAGATCTTTGTGTGTTATAACCATACATTTTAATATCCATCGAAATCGGATAAAGATAGGTTGCCAGGCAACGATACATACGCCCACAACAGCTAAATTGTCCGGGCAGTCAACAAGAGTTGTTGCATATCTTTACTTTTTTCGGTAATGAAACATTTATAGCAACAACTCATGAAGTAATTATCAGAAAACCATTAGAATGTGTTTGTTTTTATAAAGTTCTGCCTCATGCTAACATTTTGTATACAAAACTTTTAATATCATGGATTTAGCAGTTCAAGACATAAAAATTCATTGAAAATCAATATACTTGTTTGTCTCAAGATCTTAAACTCTGTGTATCAATAATCGGATGATAACATTAGCCTTTAGAGCGTCACAAAGTGATCAAGGGCCATAACTTTGGCAGTAATTATCGGAAATCATTGAAAATCAATAGGATTCTTTGTCTCATGACCTTAAACACTGTGTATAAATTTAAAGTCAATCGGATATTAACTTTGGCCTATAGAGCGTCCACAAGATTTTTTTAACTGATAAATGGCCATAACTCTGGCAATAATTATCGGAAATCGCTGAAAATCAACAGGCTTCTTCGTCTCAAGACCTTAAACTCTGTGTATAAATTTAAAGTCAATCAGATATTAACTTTGGCCTCTAGAGCGTCCCAAATTGCCATGATATAATATTAAACACAACATTCTCTTGTTTTACATACAATTTAGATATATAGTATATACAGTACAGAAGTCAGAATTTTACTGAAACCAGAAAACAATAATAAATGATTTCACCGCTAGTTTCTAAGAATCATCGACACGTCAGTTTGTTGAAATTTGTTCCATGGCTGCCATGGGCCACATTTACACCCTTGGTGGACAGACGGACAGACAGAGGCAATGACAATATACATCCACATGAAAATGTGGGCGTATAAAAATTACAAAATGATCTTTCAACAGGTGATTTTATTTTTGAACAAATGAAAGAAAAATGAAGATATAAATAAATAAATGCATAATAATAAACGAGTGCAGTAACAATGCTATAATAAATTTAGCTGAGCTTCTTATCACAATAAGGGCTGTTTACATCACTCTTATTATAAGAGGGCTGTGAACATCACTTGTATAATAAAAAGGGCTGGTTACATCACTTTTATATTAAAGATAGGTTGCCAGGCAACAAACATACACCCACAGCATATTAGTCATCTGGGCAGTCAACAAGGGTTGTCACATATTTTTTTTCTTTTGTCGGTAATGAAACATTTACAATACACTAAAGTAATTATCAGAAATCAGTAGCATTTGTTTGGCTTCTAGTTCTGCCCGATGTTAACGTTTAGTATACAAAAAATTAAATATCATGGATTTAGCTGTTCAAGTTATCAAAAATCATTGAAAATAAATATACTTGATCAAAAGACCTTAAACTCTGTGTATAAATTAAAAGTCAATCGAATCATAACTTTGGCCTGTAGAGCACCCACAAGATTTTCGAAGTAATGAAGGGTCATAACTCTGGCAGTAATTATCATAAATCCTTGAATCCTAGGTGTCTCATGACCTTAAACACCGTGCATAAATTTAATGTCAATCAGATATCAATTTTAGCCTCTATGTGATCAAGTGCCATAACTCTGGCAGTAATTACCGGAAATCCTTGAAAATCAATAGGAGTCTTCGTCTCATGACCTTAAACACTGTGTAGCAATGTAAAGTCGGATATTAACTTTAGCCTCTAGAGCATCCACAAGCAATTGTGGACAGACAGACCGATGGACGGACCAACTGGAGCGACAACAATACACAACCACATTTCAATGTGGGCGTATAAAAAGGGCTGTATACATCACTCTTATCTTGAAAGTCCCGAGAACAGTCTCGACTTTCATCAGGATCAAACTTGTGACCTTCTGGTTAGTGAGCCTGTGTCTTTCTCACTGAGCCACATATGCTTTCCTGTCAATGTTTGTGTATTTATGATCGTGAATGTGAGAAAAAATATATGTTTTACTACTTATGTTGCAATAGCAAATATTAAACCATAAATAAATTGCAAAAAATAATATCAGAGGTATCTGAAAGAAAAAGAACCTGACAAGTTCTTGGACTGTACTGAATAAAACTAACATTTTAACAAATCTAGGCTTATGATAGTCTGAATCTGCTGACTCCTTTCCCAGTCTGTGACAGCCATATGTTTAGAGATACATGTATCAGCCCAAGCTTGAGTCTTAAAACCTAGACACAATTTTGGGCTAATTCACAATCCTTCCAAATAAAGAGATTTTAAATGATCTCTGTGCCCAGATTAGAGTTTGCAAGCATAGACACACACAATTTTAGGCTGATTTATGATCCTTCCAAAGAAAGAGAATTGATCTCCTTGATTCCTCAATAATTAACCCACCAGGAAATTAAAAGAGTCCAATAATTCAGATTAGGCCTACATGTAACCATCTACGATAAAAAGTTTGCTTCCAATAATAAAAACATAGGTTGCGAGGCAACAAACATATGCCAACAGCAGCTAATTCGTTCGGGCAATCAACAAGAGTTGTCCCATATTTTTTCTTTGAAAAAATTGAAACATTTATAATAAATACACTAAAATCTGATTGAGAGTAACAACTCATTAAGTAATTATCAGAAAATCATTAGAATTTTTTTTTGGCTTCTAGTTCTGCCCCATGCAGCCATATATACAAAACATTTAATATCATAGATTTCGCTGTTCACTTATCAAAAATCATAAAAAATCAATATACATGTTCGTCTAAAGACCTTAAACACTGTGTAAAGATTTAACGTCAATCAGATATTAACTTTAGCCTCTGGAGCATTCACAGAATTTTTCAAAGTGATGAAGGGCCATAACTCTGGCAGTAATTATCATAAATCGTTGAAAATCCAAGCGAGGTCTACGACAATATACGACCACATTTCAATGCAGGTGTATAAAAATTTTAAAAGAATTTAAACTTTGATGAAAACTTTGTGATCAAGGCCAATAACTCCAAATTTTTTTTAAAAAATAGGCTTTTTGTTTCTTGAAAATAGAGAATGCGTATAAATGTCAGGTGATAAATTTAGCCTTCAGGACATCAAAAAGATTTTTCTAAGCCAAACATGACGTAACTCAGACAGTAATTATTTGAAATCATAAAATAGGGTTTAGCAACTGATGAATATAAACATTATGTAAATATTTCAAGTCAATCAAATGCAAATGGCTATTAAAAATCAGTAGGATTCTTCATCTCATTTTCATAGAAACAACATGTATGTACATGTATGCCAGTCAGCTGCTCATACATGTATAGTCTCTAAAGCATCCACAAGGATTTTTGAAATAATCAAGGGCAATAATTATGGAAAATCAACAGGATGCTTCTGATTTCATCTCCCAAGCAGATTTATGTACAAATTTCAAATCAATCGAAAGTAGGCCACATTGCAAAAAATAAATGAAATGAAATAGGATTTAACGTCCCACATGTACTCTTTTGCTCTCACTGGGCTAATGAAAACAAGCATAACCATGCAGCGTGGATGGGCATTCCAACTGTCAAGGGTTCATTTACATGCACACCAATGTGTACACACTACACAGGATCACGGTTTTCATTTCCATCCGAATGACTATACCTTGTCCCTTGCCAGGCCGCATGTCCTCCAGCACTGGAAATCCTGATGAACATGAACATAAACACTGCATAAACTTGAAGTTAAATAGAAGTGTGACAGATGGATCATTAGACAGACAAACGGAGGTGACAACAATATACAACCATATTTTAAGTGGGTGTATAAAAATGGAAATTTTATTTCCATTATCATAGAATACGAAACTTTTAAGAAACTTACAAAACGATTCTGTTCCATTGTATTTTAAGAATTATTTTCCTTGGTTAACAAAATTAGATGAAACAAAACTCATTAACAAAACTAAGTAAATTACTGTATAAGAAATTTACTGGGAACTACATGTACATGTATTTTAAAACTAAGCATCTAACTCCATGGTAGTGTTTATCTTGTCCTTTATCAAAGAAATCTCCTTTAAAAACGGGAGCTCTCAAGATAGTTCTTAATAACATTTGGCAGTGGTAGTTTTTCTACTAAATATCCTTTCCTTCCAAAACATTTCAAGATGTTCAGTTTACAAACATGCTTTAAAGATCGCATGCGACCATTTCTCACTAACAGTTTCAAATTACCAACATACTCCCAAAATGCTTCATCCTGCATATCTCCGGAATTTTGGCTATTGAAATGCAAGTTCCTACTGTGATCCCTAAAATGATTCTCTTTATTAACAATTAGTCGTGGTATAACTTGACTTGGAATGAGACTCAAAACCTTTTGATACATCGAGAGGGACATATAATCCAAAACAATTTTAGTCGTTTCTAAATTTGGTAAGCATTCCATGACCGAGAGGATTGGATACACAGGATAGTCGAGGGGGGAGAGGGGTATATTGGGGTTCGCTCCATACTGGCAAAATAAATTAATAAACTTCTCGCGCATGTCAACCCTAATATCAGCAAGGTGATTAACTAGAAATTGGTTAAATAAAGTCATATTTGTGACTCGACTTTCGAAGTTTGGATTGGCTCCATATTGCATTAGTAATTTCAAAGCATCATAAACAACCTCTGGATTAAGCCAGAGTGTGGCGCAAGAATACGGCAATGAACTGTACTGTAGCAGAACTTCCACAGGGGTCTGATTACCTCCTGATTTATGTGACATCATATTAGGGTCAATACCCTTCTGGAGAAGTAGTTCTAAGCAAGCGAGAAGATCATTTTGATATGTATCAACAGTGTAGGGTGTGTTAGAACTGGATGTTACAGTCATATCTGTAATAGCTTCAGACGCTTTCTTCCAGTAACACATAACATCTACACGACTTATTCCAATTTCTTCCGACAAAATGTGAAGAGCGGATTTTCCATTTTTGTCAACTGCGTGGAAATCAATTCCGTAATCTAGAAGCACTTGTGTGTTTGGCTTATAATTGTACGGATGCAGTTTAGATCTGTAGAGTATATGCAGACAATTCCTCGACTCTGTCATACAATTTACACTAGCTCCATTTTCCAGCAATAAACAAAGACTTCTCGTGTCTCCGTTCCAACACGCGATATGCAGGGGAGTTTTCCCATTTTTATCACATAAACTTAAAACATCTTTAAAGGATCTGTCGAGCAATATTTGAATCATTGGTACACTGCCAATGGAACACGCCTTGTGTAGCAATGACGAGGGTTCGCGTACACCAGCATACAAAAAGCGCAATGCCAGACATTGGATAATATGATTGGTCAAAAGATAATCCATACATTCAATATTTCCACTTGTTATGCTGAATTCAAATGGTTTCCCCATTTTCATGTCCATTCGCTTCACCTTTTTCCATTCTTTTAAAGACCCCTGTTCAGCCTCGTACTTTAAATTGACTAAACTAACATGTGATAAAGTCCCTGATGATTTATTCACCAGTATATATCGAACCATTTCTATATTTCCTACCAAACACGCAAGATGTAGCGGAGCGTTTAATAAGAGTTTTTCATTCTCGATATCTGGATACTGATTTGAAGCTTGGTAGGTTGGATAATAATCTAAAAATGCTGGATACCGGAGAAGCAAATATTGAAAAACATCAAATCGAGTATACAGTATGGACAGTTGGAACAGATTGATGGACAGATCTGGATGTAGCCATTTTACGATGTTAGTTGGTTCATGGATTAAAAATAACTGGTTAATATCATCTAGATGTCCACCCTTCCTTAGTTCTAAGGCCACACCCTCAGCTAAAATATCCTCACACATGTTCTCCCGTTTATTCAAGGCTGATTAAAATCTGAAATAAAATTAACAAATAAAGGACAGAGAAAGAATTGGAGCTTAACGTTCAATAAACTTTAACTAGGTCATTTGGGAATAAAGTATATGCTACCAGTACACTTTTATTTCAATAATTTGCCAGCATGCAGAGGGTTGGGGGGGGGGGCGGCTGCGTGGATGAAATACCCAGGGGGGGGGGGCAGGGATGAAATACCCAGAGACAATTCAATTTGGTTAGAAAGGCGATATATAGTACTGTCGTCAAATATAAACTAGAGGTAAAACCCATGACTTTGCACAGAAATGATTTGCAGTATTATCACTCCCGCAAATCAACCCCCACTCGAATATCAATTGATCTAACCTCTGAAATATCATCCAAAACATAAAATGTAGGACAGTTAGCATGTAAATTCTTCAACAGAAATACATGTACATGTATGACTTTGATGAACTAAAGTTATAGAGGCATTATGCAATGAGACCCATCTATGATCTAGGACAACCAAAGCACGGAAAGCAGAAATAACTATTAATATTAACACCAATCACATATTCTTCAAACACAATATAAACATCATAGTTTATAAATTGGTCTACCATTTTTCTACATCAATGAGATTAATTGAATTATCGGTACTTTCAATTTAAAGTAGCTTAGTCTTTAAAGGAGCTAAATCGCTAACATTTGGGACCTATAAATTCACAAAAGTGGGTCGCAACGCATATAATACTGTAATATGAATGTATATAAACTGATTTACATTTAATGGTTTCCGTTTTTACTCCAATTTCAAATCAGTTATGTTCGGCAAAATAAGTCAGCAATCTCAATCGAGTGCAAATTTCTAGCGTCTAGTTATTCTAGTCTACATAACTCCATTTGATTTGGTGCAATGTGTCTAGCCTCGTCCCTCGAGTCTCTCAATACAACTGGGGCTGAAGCGCATTATGGTACACGATTCGTGTACCAATGTTAAAAAAATTATTTTATCTTAAATATCGGATATCAGAGGCTCATCTTTTCCCGGTAAGTTTACATCATCAATGTTGATTTAAATTGACCAATAATTTGTGTTTTCGATGTCAAAGATTTTGGAGGATTTTGAGTTACAGACTTAGGTCCTTGAACTCAGTATCAATAACATACAAAGTCTTCGACATTGAAAACACGAATTATTTGTCAATTTAAATCAACACTGATGTCATGATCTTACCGGGAAAGGATGGGCTTCTGAAATATTTTTAAAGACAAATTAAACATTTGACCAATTGGTACACGAATTGTGTACCATAATGAGTTTCAGCTCGAAGAAGGAGGCTAGATATATTCCACAAGTCATTTCAAACGGTGACCCTATATGCTTATCTGGAGAGCATGTGCAATAAATACTACCAGTGTAGACTAGATTAACCAGATGCTAGAGATTGTCATTTGATTGAGACTTCTTGCGTATTGCGCCGAACATAATTGATTTGATATTAGAGTAAAAATGGAAATAATTGCATCTAAGTCAGTTTATATGCATTGCGACACATTTATGTCAATTTCTAGGCCCACATATAATATTAGTGATTTAGCTCCTTTAATAAACACTAACTTTCAACTGTAGCTGTAGCCTACTGTAGGCTATGTGCGATAAAAGAAAATGTCCCATCACTTTTTCGAACACTTTAGACCTTTCTGTCTTATCTAATTTCAATCCAAGCCTATGATAATAACCAATTTATAAATAAATGTACCCCTCGTCTTTCCAGTCCAGAGTCCAGGCAGTTTCTTCTTTGTAAAATTTGCTATTTCTCTCGCTCCTATATTATTTTGAACTCTGCCATACCATGATTCCAATTGCAGAGGCGCTTGGCTAAACGACCGTCAAACTGACCAAGTCAAATCAATGGTGAACATTACTCTAGTCAATGATCTTCTGCGAATGTCAAAATAATGATCTAAAAATTATGAAAATAAACATAAAAGTTACCTCCCTTGGTAAAATGCCCCACATATCATTTACAGAAGTAGGTCAACTACAAACAAAATGAATGAGGTATAAATAACCGTAAAAAACAACAATATTAACTTATTGTACATATTTTAAAATATGTAGGACAATTTCTCTGAAATTCTTCAATCATTTTTTGTTTTCGTTATTGTCATAAGCGAAATTGCTAATTTGTAATGAATGAACTTCCGGTTAGTGAACAGAAGCAGGCGAAACGTTGACGTGTAAAAAGACGAACTACGGTAAATTTAGTCGACTGAAGTAGGCGACAGGTGGGTATCGATTTTACAGTGAACAGGTTATGTACATTAAATCGCTAAAATAATCACATTTTTTGACATAGACGTGTGAGACTGTTGTAATAACGACTGACATAAACAACCGGGTGTCATTTCACCCACACCCAAAATTTCAGTCTTTTCTCTTGCTTTTGAAGTTTCAGAATTTTTTCCTGTGGTTTCTACCATAGTGATTGGGCGTACATTTATGTTTTCTCCTTCTCTATTGATTTACATGTCACAGCCACTGATTGAAGTTACTGTCTCTATCGCATGGATTACAAAAATCTCAGAATTTCACACTCTAAGTCTAGGGCAGGCCTATTATGGCTATGCTGTCTCTAGATGAAAACTGTTGTTATTACACAAATCAAACCAAAGAGCCAATCCAATCAGAGATAAGATGTGTTGTAGGGGTCTATCCGTTTGGACATTACTTTTGAAATAAAATTTTCGCAGTGGTTATTTTTACGATGAGTCGTAAAAATAGTCCTCAGGCTAGTTACGACCATGCTTTAATCAGAGCCCTCCATCTGCAAAGTTTAGGATTTTGTCGAGGGGGGGCATACATTGGAGCAAAGGGTAATCATCAGAATGCCACATGCATTAGTGGTTTGCATTAGTGACATGGGCTGGGCGGGGGGGGGGGGGGGGGGGGGGGGAGCACGGCCCCTGGATCCGGGCCTGTAGTGAAGTTGAAATCCATTGATTCAGAGGAGTAATAGAAATCGATGGTCGTAACAATAGCCACAGGACTATTTTTACGACTATTCAGTTTTTAACTTTGCCGATGGAGGGCTCTAAAATCATTATCGTAACAATAGCCTGAAGACTATTTTTACGACTCGTATAGGCACTGCATCAAATTTTTTGAAAAGTGTGGATACAGTAGGCCTACATGTATTTGGAACGGTACCAGCGGCATTACAGTAGATCTACCACGGCATAAACTTTTAAAATTCGAAATAATGTCATAAGAACGACTAACATTGTTTTTTTCCAAAAATGTCTTGATCAGTCTAATCTGATTTTGACATTATGTTAATCAATTATGATTATAGATTTATCAGATTACTGTTAAATAAACATCAAAAACATCTGTTACAACTAATATTACTTTATTTACAATGAATTACAATGTACATTATGTGTCAAACTAGACTGTAGTCGATATAATAGCTATTATTAAAGATTTCATGGTATGATTTATTATTCCTGTGAACCTTACTATATAAATCATTTTATGATTGGGGAGCAGGGGGATGGCGACAGTGGTTGGGTGATTGAAAGATGATCAGCTCAGATTCAAAACCCTGGGACGGGCTAAGAAGCACTTGCTGGATTTTTGAAGAAGAGCTCTCACTTATCAGTGGTGCCTCCTGCAGACTGACAATGTAGTTGTAATCTAGTCTTTTGGATGTGGATGACATGTACAAACCTACATGTAGGTCTTGTGTACAAATTGTTTTAATACAATTGGGAGAAGACAAAAATGACACTATCCAGACAGAATGTTTCCCCCCTAAATTTGCATGGCACCAATCATTTGCTTGATTAATGATAAAGACGAGAGGATCATTGTTGAAACGTTGCATGTTAATAAACCAGTAATTGTTATTCCATAAATAGTGTGAACTAGTGTGTTACTGTTCAATTACTAAAGGCCAATTAAAGAAGTGGCACACATAACGTCATACAAATTACTATGTATTAGTCTCAAAACTGTTAGCATGACGTTCAACACCTTTCCATTTCACAATTATCAATTATACAACTTGTTTACATGTTCTAAGTTTAAAAGTTGAGCATTAATAAAATGGTTTTGAATTCTTGGTTTGTTTGATAAGGACTAACAAACACACATTCACAATGTTAACCTTGTGTCTTGTCTTTGACTTTCTCCCACTGCTAATTAGTCCTGCATTCATGCAAGTGAATTCTTGAAATATTGACTGAATTACAATGTTATGAAATGTTCTTAAAATTCTGTGCAAACGATTTTTGCGTGTCCTATCTTTTGTTTCCGCCAGATTTGGTGAGGTTACTCTTTGGTTGCACAAAATTTCACAGGGTATTGTATTAAATAGCGAGTTTTATGAATGAAAAGGTTTTGTCTCTAAGATAAAAGTATTTTGTGTGACTGAAGATGTCTTTATTTCGATTGATATTTTGTCTTGAGTGTTGATTTTTCATCAGATAACCCATCTTCATTAGTCTGGAATGGTGCAGAACAGATATATATACATGTACCCAAATGGGGTAATATACCAAATTTATACGTTCGTATTAAACCCTCCATGTGTGGAGGGAGTTGTGGTGGCTCAGTGTGTAGGACACTGGCTCATTAACCAGAAGGTCAAGGGTTAAATCCCATTAGCCGAGAAAGTTCACCAGGCTTTTCCAGCTTGATTTCCCTTTGTCAGTGGTACAAGCAGCATTTGGTCATTTGGATCAGGCAAAAGCTGAGACCCAGTTTTCATGTTGGCATGAACGTAAAAGAAACCTTTACAGTTTAAACATGATTGCCAGTTAATAATTTAATTAGAAATTGATAATTAAGACTTTGTGGATTATTGTGACAACAGGAGCAATGACAAAACAAGACTACACTGTTTTTCAAATGGCCATAACTCTGCTGAGGATAAAGTAATTTGACTGAAATTTTCAACATATTCCCTTTTCATATCTGTTTTTTAACTATTTTAGCGAGAACTGGCATCTCTTAATCAAAATCTTACATACTGCATCTTAAAAAAAAAAAAGATTTTGATTTCCTTCTGTTCATTGTGATTCCATTGCTTTGAAGGAGCTTTGTGAAATTATTGATCACAGTCCATAATTATTTTATAATCAAATTGGTCAATTTTAACAAATTAATACCATGGAAACTGATGACATGAGAAGAGCTAATTGATAAGGTTTGAAGAATATAATTACAGGCTAATTACAGGCTAATGAAAGAGGGTGTGGTCTGAAACTCTCCTCTCGTTTCAAGAACTGAAATCAGGTTCTGGTTCACAAAGCAATCCCAGACTTAAGTTAAGAATTTACTCAACTTTAAATCGCTGTCTATGAAAAATATCTTTGATCTGGAAATACAAAAATTTGCACATAGTATCTTATTGATATATTTGATACATTAAAATAACAAAGGTTTTATAAAAGGGCTATATTTTAATTAAAGTAAGGCAAACAATTTTGAGTAAATTCTTAACTTAAGTCTGATAATGTTTTGTGAAACCAGGGCCTGAACCATGGATGTACATGTTGTAGTATATTGGGTTAATTTTTCACCCATTAATCCATCTTCATATAATCCCTTGCAATATTGTGAAAGATGAATCTCTATAATAGCAATATCAATCAAAACAAGGTTCAATTCCGTTCAGTATTTACAAAGATATGTGGAATTGAAATTTTATCTATCTATGCTGCCCGCTCAATCTGATTAAAATACAGATCTATATTTCGTTTCGTTTTTTTATACTTTCGATGGCCTACACTACATGAAGATCTGACAAGTTATAGCGATAGGTCACGTCAGGGGTCAAAAGACCGACTTATGACACTATGACATCAGACATTTGATTAACCAATCAGCATTGATGTTACTAGTGGATTACCCACAGTTCCGTGAAAAACACGCCTAAAGCTCACCGTAACAGACCGTTTCATTGGCTTATCCCTGACACCATTCAGAACACGAGTTAAATAACAACTCCTCCAGATCCAAGTGTAGTAAAGACAAGTAAAACAAAATTTTAAACTATAAAAACGAAATGAAATAGGATCTGTGTTTTAACCAGATTGCTGCCCGCTATATAATAAGCCTGCCACCATTTTCTTGTCCACAAATAATTATTGATGAGCATATTTTAAATCTGATTGAATCCAAGCCGGGTGATTATCTAGTGTGGTATTTTGTTGTCTTAATTAAATAAAAATAATGCCTAGTTTCTTTAACCTGGTTGATACAAAAAAGTTAAACCTGGTTTCTTTTCATTCTATTTTGTCCTTTCATCATCCAAATGTTTGCTTTTCTTTGATAATGACATCCATTCCATCTTTCTTTCTTTTAATCTTCGGGTTTTCAGCAGCTATGATGGATTGTTTGTGGATTGATTTTCTATTTAGACATAATTATGAACACTAAGGTTATTGTATGAATAAACTGATGATAAGTAAAAATAATGACATGTCTCAGCTATTTCATTACCATAGCGACTGTCATCTAGAATTATTAAAGTCATTTATGTTACAGTATGATCTTGCTTAGTCCACATGTACATGTCTGTAGTACTACAATGTACATTTAATCAAAGTGAATTAAAAAGTTATTGCATGTTTAACATACTGTGTTTATGTACAGTTATGATCTTTTAAGGGTATTTAGGGGGATCATGGTGGCTAAGTGGGTAAGGCACTGGCTCGCTAGCCTGGAGGTCGGGTGTTCGATCCCTGCATTGGCCAAGAAAGTTCATCCAGATTTTCCAGCGCGGTTCCCCCCTTGTCAGTGATGCGGGATGGAGGGCCTGACAAGGACAGCTGTCTAGTCGTTCGGGTGGGACAGAAAACTGAGGTACCATGTACACATTGGCGTGCATGTAAAAGATCCCTTGACAGTTGGAATTTGATATAAGAGTAGGCCGTAACGTCGCTGTCTGGGCAAAATTTCCCTCGTAGCACACTGTATGGTGTATGCCCGTCTTCATTAGCCCAATTCGGAGCAGAACAGTAGGACGTTAGACCCCATTTCTTTTCCTGATATTATGAACTGTCTGCCGTACACATATTATATATATTACTATAAAAAGAAAGAAGAGAATCATTGTAGGACATTAAACCCCATTTCATTTCATTTCATTTGAAGGACATTTAACAATTGAGAACAATGAAAGACTCCACACAATTTACATGGAAAATATGATCAATCACTGGTTTGTAGACATAATGATAGTAGAACAATTGTTGAAATATAAACTTTTTTTTTTTTT